AATATTATGCATGATTATGCCAAGAGTTTTTTTTTTCGCTATATAATCAGCTGATACAAAAAGTCAGTAATTATGATAAAAGGAATCCTTGGATATTGTGCTTGGTAATGCAAACACAATGGCGTCTTTGTACCCATGCTGATTTATTAGCAGACATAGATCTAGTATAGGAGCAGCCTAACCTGAAAGATGGGCTTTCACTTCCTGTGCAGAACCTGTTACGTCATTTCTGTGGCAGCTCATTCATCTGGCTGGTTGATGCCCCGTGGGGCTACTCTGGGCTGCGTTCAGCACTGTTTAACTTAAATATGATTTGCCTGCTTTCAGGAAGACAATGTTTTTGTGCCCTCCCCTGCTTTGTAACCTGTGAGTGAAGGGGGTTATCAATGTGAGTTACCAGGTGAAAATCAGGGTAACAAAATGGTGAAGATGAGAATCAAAAGTTTTGTCCTCTCTCTGTAGCATCTTGTTAAACAAATTATACATTAATTTGTGACAATGTGATATTAATGTTAAGAGTGAACAATTTCGTATAGTGATTGTCAATTTTACCCCCCCCCCCTTCCTTCCCACCATCTTACTATTATAATATAACTAATATCTATAATCATGTTTTTACTGTCACACCTAATCACCTCTCTCCTGTGATAGATTGATATTATTCAACTCCGTACACACAATGTTTTGTCTGAATGAGTCATAATTGGGAACTGAAATAACTTTTCAATTGATCTGGATGATTCATTTTGCTGGTCTGAATTTATATGCAGATGAAGGTCTTTTGCAGTGAATGTTGCAGTGTTCTGTTTCTAACAGGTGCTCCTGATTTACAGCTTTCTAACTAGCTGATAGGGGTACATGGCAATGCAGTAGCTGCAAACCTGTCTCCTTACATAAGCATGGGCTTGTGGCTAGTGTTAGTTAATTATTTTATGGTATATTTGAATTTTTTTGGTAAGAGTCTCACCTAATTTCAAGCTGTTACATTTTGAGATAGGTGTTGATATATAGGTGTGTTTATACAGTTGAGGATTTTGATAAACACCATATAATATTATTTGTGTACGAGCTCTAGATATTCTGGTGTCTTTGCTTTCCCAGTTTGTGCTTGTATGGCCTTAGCTTGTTATGGTTACTTTTCTGGTCAGTTGTTGAAATTCTGAATATTTTCTTTTTGCTATATTGACTCATATTTGGCTTGTGACGTAACTTGATGTCTGATATTGCAGTGAGAATAAATGAAAATCCATGGGTGTAAATAAAAGGTAGGGTGTCATAGCCAGGCTAAAAAAATACAAGTAAGTAAATAATAAAAAATCCACTCCAGCTTATAGGTTTATTCTCTCTCTCTCTCCATCTGTCGTTTTTTCCTATCTGTCCATCCCATGATAAAGACCCTCGTGGACAGGATATAGGATATATAGTTTGTAGAACTCATGGTTCCAGACACAGTTTGACTCTCTGTGCACCTCTGTGCATCTTGAACCAATTACCCGCCAAGCTGTAGAAATCAATAGCACAAGTCCACTCCTTCTGCTGCCAGCATATGTGCCTACAGCTTCTTGATAAATAATGTCGATATTACTATAGGAATAGACAGAGCTTTTCACAGATTCACTTGTTTTCACTAGACTTGCTGATTGCTAGACGCCTTCAAGTTCTTTTTTTTTTTTTTTTTCATATTGGTTCTAGATAAAGGATACGGTCTTGTGGTGACTTATCCAATAAACTGAAGTAGCAGTTAGTCTGCATATCCCTTTAAATGAAAACTTATAGTGGATTTTCAGCTCACAATTACATAACAGAATATACAATTTTCATTAGTTTTCTGATGCAACTGTCACTTTGGGAGAACCTTTGTCTGCCTAGCAGTAGTTTGATGTAAAATTCAAACATCAACTTGAGGCTTTTGGGGATTTCAGAAATAAAAATAGACAAATGTAGAATGTTTTAAGGAAGATAAACTGAACACAGATCACATTAAGATGATCACCATGAACATGATTTTTTTCATCCCACCTGGCCATAATTATCTTTATGTATATAACTGTTGATGTAAAGAGGAATAATTTTATGAAACCAGTCAGAAAAGTGGTATTTGTCTACTTTTTTTAGCTCTCTTTTTTCTCTCTCATACTTTATGAGTGTGGAATAAACAATTTTTATGTAAAATAAGAGTATACTGTATGTGTATTTATGAAATTATCAATACTTGTATCTATATATATATTCTCATTTAAAGCATTTCTTCCAAAAGGATGATTATTACATTTTGAATTTCAAACAGCTTTTTATAAAGCTTTGAATGAAACCTAATTTGGTTGCAAACTTCAGTTTATATACAGCAATAATGCTAGCGCTGCCCCAGCCTAGGAATTCAGTGTTGTGGTTGGTTCAAGCAGACACAACCAGGTGGTCTTCTCCTTCCTCTATCATGCTGGGAGGTCGTTGTTCCTCACTGAAGTACATGGCAGTAAAGACAAGGAGAAGGTCAGAGCATGGCTTCACCTGAACCGAGATGGAGCCCGAAAATATGGTCATAACTTTTAGACTCAAAATGTGGTTCAATGAAGTTCGAGATAGAGCCATAATAGTTGACTTAATTAAAGTATGGGTCGGAAAATGATAGCCATGTCTTTCCTGTTATATAATATGGATGCAATCTTCCATCTTTTTGGACTACTGGGCTTATTTTAGACCGAGTTCCATAAGTTAGGACCAACTTTCACCCTGTAGCACTGCTGTGGGACCAGGCTCCAGGTTTGTTGCTGTGCAGCATCCCTCATAAATTTCCAAATAATAGATGGGGGTAATTAATTGGAAATTATGGACTGTGTTACCTAACCTGGCCAGTACACACCCCCAGGTGTAATGTTTATGTGACACCGCTTGGGTTGATGAAGTCAATGAAAAATGGTATTGATAATTACCCTCGCTTCATACATAATAGATAGCAATAAACTAAACAAACGTGAGGATAAGTTTATTCATGGATGGCAGGTAAACTAAGAAGGTTAAATGTATGTATGTTGAAGTGGCGACTGGGGTATATTCAGGATATAGTTGGTATTTCTGCTATCCACTGAAGCAAGGTGTTCTCTTATTCTGATCTCTGCTGCATCAATATATAACCTCCTCTGCCATAGCAAATAGGTGAGAATGATGAATGTAAACATATAACCACTGTCTCAGCCGCTGACGTCAGTCCGCAAATGGAACACAAATTCCAGCAAATTAGTGTTTTCTTGGCTATTTAATGATATCTCGGAGGCAACTGATTGAAACTTGTTTTGTGTTGAACTGATTATTTGAGGAAGATAGGAATTGGTGAGTTTTCACTCGGAGTAATTAAATGCTTGTCTGGAATCATGTGACATTTTTCATAAAGGTTTAGATATTTTTAAGAATATTGAATGCATGGGCCCACATGGTTTCTTCTGATGGCCTTTAAGTTGTAGATCAGCTGAAGATGATCACAATCAGCTATGCATGAACAAGTGTGTTGATTAATTGCTATATTGGACTTCTATATGGGGATTATCCCTTACAAGTTATAGTGTATTTGCTGAATATATAGATGTTCATGTATAAAGTTCTCATCACTGAAATTGTGTGTGTGTGCTTTTGAAGTATTGTTTATCTGGGTATTGTTTATCTGGCCTTTTGCCACTTGTGAGTGTCATCTCCTCCAAGCTGTAGGGAAAATATTTAATAATTAAGGTAACTTCCATGTTTTCTCTTCTCTATTGCCTTTGACAATCATTTAGGTAAATTCCTTTTTTAAAAGCAAAGCTGTGTTAAAAACAAACCTGCCAAGATGCTGAATGTCTAGTCAAGATACATAGTAGGTATTTCAAGTTCTCCAGTGTTATCTTCCATGATTGGACATGTGGATATTTTAGAGTAGCACTGGTACTAGTATATGGAAGGTATTGTTGTTAAATGAGTAAAGCACCATCACCTTGTCTAGAGTCAGTCACACTATGTAAGGTTTACTGAGCTGGGTGTATGCAAATGGAGGACTAATTGGACTATTGCATGTGCCCTTCATTACTTATCACTTGAATTCCTCCTGCTCTGGTATTTCCCTTGCTAATGACAGGACATAAATCACCGTGAAAAAGCCATTTCCATATCTTTTAAAAGTGTACGCAATACCATCAATTATATATTAGGCGTGTGAATGTGTGAGTGAGTGAAGCCGCAGTTATGATTTCATTTCATAGTAAAAACATGGTCTGTGAATTCTGGTCTTGCCATATAGTATGAAGTCATTATTACCATCACTTGACTCCACATTTGGGAGTGATTTCCCAACTGCCTGAAATGTCTCAGCACAGTTTGCACCCAGTGCATCTACTGATGTAATAAAGACCTGTTATAATAATCATAATGGAAGATTTGCCAGTTGCCCTGAACCCTCGACTCTCCAAACCTCTGTCTCAATGAATCTGGGCTGTGCACTGCATTTCACCCGCGCATTAATGTACTTACATGCTGGATTGATCATACAGCCTGTTCTTGATATCTGGACGTCATTAGTCCTGGTAAAGGTACTGACTCAGTTTTCAGGGAGAAAACTGGAGAAATGGCTTACTTGAATTGTGTGTAGTGATGATATGAAACATTTGTGTGTCTGGGTTGCCTGATTAGAATTTGTTGATATCAAATGCGCTGTCTATTGTAGATATGTAGATTGATTGTGTCAGACCAATAATTATATTTGTGAAAACTCAAAAGAAAAGCAACGTGGACATGAGCTAAACATTTCACAAGAGATTAGGTTTGCAAGTTTGTGAAAAGCATCTTATTCAGGTGCCTTTTAATCCTTTTGTCTAGCAATTCACATGTGATGTAGATTTTGTATCTGTGCATAAAAAACGTGGCTGTTGAAATAAACCTCAAGTGAAACTTGATTGATGGTTAAAGATACTTGATGTTGAAATTTATTTTATTTATTCATTACGGTATTAATTAACAAACCGAAATTATCTTTGTAGGACAAAAAATGGAGCAAAACAGAACGTCAGCGGTTCAAAGAAGAAGCCGAGATGTTGAAGGGGCTACAGCATCCGAACATCGTGCGGTTCTACGACTCCTGGGAGTTGGTGTCACCAAGAGGTCAAAAGGTCATTGTCATGGTAACAGAGCTGATGACATCAGGAACATTGAAGACGTAAGTGACAGACGATGTGTCGTGTGAGACTAATCTGTTGATGTTTTCATAGGTTAGGATATTACTGTTGTGATGTAACCAAGGTAATTTATTGTTTCAGTCTCTGATTGGTACCATAATTGAGTGCGATTTAAAAGATGGTATATTAATGTTAATTGTGTATATCAATGTTCTTTGTAACCCATTTTATTGTGAGGCCTTCAAAAATAAATTGTTTCTAGGTATCTGAAGAGATTCAAGAAGGTCAACATCAAGGTCCTCAAGAACTGGTGTCGGCAGATCCTGAAGGGACTCTACTTCCTGCACAGTCGCAATCCTCCTGTGATCCACCGAGACTTGAAATGTGATAACATCTTCATCACCGGTACCACCGGCAGCGTGAAGATCGGTGATCTGGGTCTGGCAACCCTGAAGAACAAGTCTTTTGCTAAAAGTGTGATAGGTAAGAATCCAAACGGTGGGCTCATTGCAGAGGAATGTTCAAGCTGTTTTGGCAAGTTTTAAATTGATTTTTTTGTTTATCATGTTTTATATGTGATGAATGGTTGATGTATTGAGGACATTATTTTTATTATTGAGAAGAAAATTTTTTATTGGAAAAAGTAGGTCGAGCAGGTAGGTAGTCATTGAATTGCCATAAACATGTTTATTTCAGTTTGAAACTTGTTGGATATGCTTGGATAGACGTCATTTCATGTGTCAATGCAGTAGAAAAGGTATTGAACTCAATATTCAGAGAGCAAGTGCGTCATCAACACCAAAGCTGAACTGATTCCTGCTCAAATGGGATTATCCTACTGGGATTTTACAAAAGCTGATTTCACGCCTAAGTCTGGGGAAAAAAACTGAACTTTCTGTAGATTTGTGTGCTATTTTATTCTAAGGCTTCATTCACATGCAATGTCTAATTTTTAAATTCTATTTTCTATTCGCGGTATGTCTTATGAGCACGGTCTGTGCCCTGAATATCCCGCGGTGTAATTACTGGCAGCGCGAGCCAGTTACTATAAGTTACTATAAGTAACTGGCTCGCGCTGCCAGTAATTACGTGGCGGGATATTCAGGGCACAGACCGTGATCATAAGATAGCGCGAATAGAAAATAGAATTTAGAAAATAGACATTGCATGTGAATGAAGCCTAATTTCCTCTGATTTTCCGGACCTAATTATGNTTTAGAAAATAGACATTGCATGTGAATGAAGCCTAATTTCCTCTGATTTTCCGGACCTAATTATGACAGATGATTGTTGAAGGCCACTGCTGAGCCTGCACCTTTTAATATAGTTTAAAACTAGATAACTGATTATTTTCAATGATCTGTTATTAATAATAATAAAAAGAAAGAGGAAAAGTAAACTTTGTTTGATTCAGACTTCTGCAAGGGAAAGCTTGTGTTAACTTGAAGAAAAAAGCAATTTAAAAAAAAAATGATTAAGTTTAATGATGAGTTTTGATTATTGTCACTGTCAGTAATAGAGTTGGCACCTCTATTTGGTCTTATCTTCTAATATCAGGGTAGAATTGGAAGTTCTCATTTGAAGGAAGAAATTACCTAGGTGCACTCCGTGTTCCAATCATAGCCAAGGCCTCCCGAGCTTAAAATAGATGAAATTGTAGGAAATACACGGCTTTCTCATTTCCCAGTATTAATTGTATCTGTCAGAAAAAATAAATCTCCAAATGATTCACTGTTACTACATAAATACTGTCTGCTGCTGAACAAATACAGACAAAAGAATAATCATCACCATGAAAATGATGTGAAAAACCATGCTATCAAATTAATTTACTATCAAGTTATTTAGTACTGTAATGCCTTGGGTTGGCAGGGAGGGAAGTATTGGGTGGGATGGAGAGTTTTGGTGGATGGCGAGTTAGGGTGACATGTAGCAAGTTTTGCCCAGATTTGATCTGTACATCTGTTAACATACATGTATAATTTCTCTCTCTACCACAGTGAACAATGCTGTGCCCCCAGTGCCCTAGTATGCTGTAGGCGGAACCTCGGTCAGGTAATGGTATGGTATCCAGGTAACTCACGGGTTGAGCCATGGTCTTCTGCTTGTTTTAAACAGTGACCAACTTTTTTGCATTTCAGGTATAGAAGCGTACCCATGATTTTACTAATTCTGTTTTTCCCTACTCTCCTTTTTTTCCAAACAGCGCGCACGTCGCCAGGGCTGACACACCATCCATCTTTTAATTTAAGGTACGCCAGAGTTTATGGCGCCAGAAATGTATGAGGAGCACTATGACGAGTTAGTGGACGTGTACGCAGTTGGCATGTGTATGCTTGAGATGGCAACGTCAGAGTATCCATATTCGGAATGTACAAATGCAGCTCAGATATATCGAAGGGTTACAACTGTAAGTAGTATAAACATTTAAGAACACTTAAATGGATTTTTGAAAAATTGAAAGGGAAAAAATGAAAAGAAAGGCCATTATTTTGGAGCTCATGCTCGTTCTCTCTCTAGCTTTAATTATTTATACAGCTTGATCCTTGGAACACCTTTTTTTTGTTTTGCTATTTTGCAACTCATTTTCCAAATGCAGTACTGTATTATTTAGCAAGATTGCATACAGGAACAAATATATCTGTACTAGTATTTGATGAATTGATCAATGCTGAAATGTTTCAAAATGGAAAGATGTGGAATCTCCAGGAGATAAGTATCTATTTTGGGAGGGAAGTGTGAGTGCAGCCTGATGTAAACTGTTGTGACACCTGATCAAAATATCAACAGAATTTTCATCCAAGCTACTTGAAGGGATGTCTCAATATTTATTGGAATGGTTTCAAAATGTCTGTGATATTTCCTTATGTTAAGGAGGTTGATTACTGCCCTGAGAAAGTTATGTTCAAATAAATCAGTGAGTTCTTTTTACCTCATAGATTTAAATATATATGTAGGAAAATACATATTCCTCTGGGTAGGTAACTTTGTATCCATCTAGATGAATGAACATCGAGTTTATATTATGCCAAAGGTTGATAATGCAATGAAATATTTAAGTTTATAACTGCCGTTAGGAAAGCAGTTACTTTCTCATAAAGGGAAAACTTGATGGTCTTTCGGGCCAATTGACACATGGTAGAAAAAAAAATATATTTTTTATTATGTCACATTTTGCTGGTCAGAGATTGCCAACATGGAGACATTTCAAATTTAACTGTTGTACGTTAAATGAGGCTTGCTGCTTGTGATCACGTGTTCTTTATTCAGGGCGTGAGACCAGAGAGCTTGGAAAAAGTGGAGAACCCTGAAGTGAAGGAGATAATCCTGGCATGCACCAAGCTGGACAAAACAGAAAGGTCAGTCTGACTTTTATCTTGTCACTGTCATGATATTTATAACATTCTGAAAGTGGAGGCCAAGTGTGGCTGTACTTGTGGTTAGAGAACCTGATGTAATGACAGAATGTAACAGATGTGTTGCCATGACAATGTGGGAAACGTGTTGGCTTTGTTGAATTGAGGTTTGTGAGGTACTCTTTGCGACATTTTGTCTCATGAAGTCTTGGTTTTTAAATAGCAGGAAGTTCTTTAAAAAGATGATAACACTGCCACATTATTTTTTGTGAAATAAAAGTCTGTAACATAAGAAATGTCTGTGGTTACATTTCAAGACAGGCATCCCTGAAAGGACCCACTTTTTGAAGATGTCTACTTTGGTGCACAATCACATAGACAAGAAAAAAAAAAGCAATTTCTCTTTTGTGATGGATGGCCAATAACATGTTTTTGCATTATATTTATATTTAAAGAAATCCCATCTTTATATTAGCAGAATGAATGGTTCCCATACAATATCCATTTTGTTTGAGTACAGTTTTCATATCATAATGGTTTCTGTTACATCAGGCCCTCAGTGAAGGAGCTCCTCCAGCAGAATTTCTTCCAGGAAGACACAGGGGTGAAGGTGGAGTTGGTAGGCAGGGAGGGGCTGGACGAGGCCAAACTGCCCTGTATTATACAGCTCATGCTGCGCGTGATGGACCCCAAGAAACGCAAGGACAAGCACAAGGAGAATGAAGCCATCCAGTTTGACTTTGACATGCTGAAGGATAATGCTGAGGCTGTCACGGCCGAGATGGTATGTACTGTGTTTAGCCACTAGTATTTTGTTTGGAAATAAGTTCAGATCAGAACACAAAATGTTGGTCCTGAATTTTACAGGAGATGAAGTTTGGACTTCAGGCTGCAACTTTAATTTATTAATCTATCCCTGACTTGCATTATGTTTATTATTTTATAACTTTGCCATATGATTAACTAAATCCCTATTCTTACTTTAAGATTTTTTTTTTTTTGATGAAGGAAACAATAATGAACAGAAGGTGTTCTTGTAATTGAAGATATCAGCATAAGTGTGTGTACATATTGACAGTTCAGTGTTAATCATTGTTGCCATGTCAACCAGGTGAAGTCCGGCTATCTCCAAGAGGTGGACGTGAAGAGCGTTGCCAAGCAGATCCTGGACAGGGTGAACCAGGTGAAGAAGAGCAGAGAGAGGAAAGCCCTGGAATCAGCACAGCAGAAACCTGTAGAAGGTGCTGAGCAGGGTCATGTTGAAGGTCAAGGTCAGGGTCAAGTTCAAGGTCAACAACAGCCTGTCTCCTATGGACAACAGCAGGTGTATACACAACCTCAGGTAGGTGATGTAGTGCATTGTATTGGCATAAGATAAGATGTGCCAGGTATGTGCTGATTACTGAGAGAAATGTGGCATACTTGTGTGTTTTACTCAGAACATTTCGGAGATTCTACAGTAATAGACATCAGTTTTGTGTTCCTAAGATAAAAATTTTACCTTCAATAGGAGGACTCCTGTAATTAGTGCTAATAGAATGATTTTTTTTCTATCTTATAGACTGCGCCACTTCAGCAACAGCAACAGCCTCCACAACCACAACAACTACAACAACAACAACAACAACAGCCACCGCAGCCCCAACAACAGCCACAGTACCAGGGACAGCAACTATTACACACTCAGATGAGCCAGCTTCCCCAGGGGTCCATGTCAGATATAGCAGGTAGTGTGGGGCATGCTTTCTTGATTGTTCCATGAGAAAGTCAAAAATTTGTTTGGATTTTAAATGTCTGACCAGTCATTCAGAGTGCCCAGTCTTCCTGTACATTTCAGTAGAAAATATCAACATCTGTTACTGTTGAGGGTTTTTATCGTATTTAAGGTTTGAATTGGGATAGAGAAGTAGCTTTTCATGATATGTAGAGAAGCGTTAACAGCTTTGGTGGTGGTGGGTGGGGGGGGGGGGGGTTCAAGCGTTAACAGCATACCTGTAAGTTCTCAATGTATCAATGTGTCAACTCCCAGGTGCAGTGGAGAGTGGGTTTTCTGCAATGGAGCCTGGTCAGCACAGTCTTCCCAGTGGCCAGACGGTTCAAGGTGGGCCTCCCGCCCAGCAGACCATCTCTGCTCCAGCCCAGCCTGCTCCCACCTATGCTCAGCAGGTGGCAGCACAACTGCCAGGACAGTACCAACAGCAGGTAAGTACTTCCAGGATTCCCCATGCTGGTTTGTGTGTGCTTTGTATTTATTTCTCTGTTGGAGAGTGTAACATAGTAACTGGAGAGTGATTGCCATCTTATTAACTCTGCCTTGTAATAGCTTCACAGTACTCTATGCCTTGGTCAGCACTGGTGTTTTACACACAGAAATCAGTGGTGACGGGAAAGGAGACATACAGGGATAGTGAGTGATGTTCTTGGAAGCCAGATGTTGGTGCATATTGGTGTGTTTATACTTTCATAGGTGCCAGCGTTTGGCTACTTTCTTCCACAGGGAACAAACCAGACGCAGTACACAAACGCTCAGACTCAGCAGCAGCCGCCGTTACAACAACAACAACAGCAATTGCAGCCTCAGCAGCAGCAGTTGCAGCAGAATCAGCAGCAGCAATATGTACAACCAAGCTTTGTGCAGCAGCAACAGCCACAGCAACAACAACAGCAGCAACTGCCTTCTGTTCAAGTTCACTGTGGCTCTTGTGGTTCTTGGCAACATGTGTTTCAGGTTGGCTCATATATCTAGCACAATTCTAATAATAGCTGCTTGCTTCTCCAACTCATTCTGCCAGCTTAGAAACACAAGTAAAAGAAAAAAATACTCTTGGGGTGTTCTGTTGAGTTAACTTTAAGTACCTTGTTGATCCACCATCGGGTAATAATTTATCTGGCTGTTATGTTGGGGTAGGATGCTGTGCTAATTTTTGGGAGGTCTAGATATTTTAAACAACTTTAATCAGCAGACTACCACATAAAAGGAATCAGGAGTTTGTTATTTTTCAAACATGCCTAGTAGAGATTTCCTGTTACCCTCCCTGTTGAATTTCTAGAAACAGGATTGATAGTTATTTGTAAATTTTTTGTAAAATTCAATAAGCCATATTTTAGATAAATAAACTGGTAGAAAATCGATGTCCATGGATTGGTGTAGAGCTCCTTAGCCTACTCCTGTAGCTTCAGCTTGTACTGTATGTCAGATCACATCTGGTTTAATTTGGCACAAGAAGTTTTTTTGGAGAGTTAAGGGCATCTTTTTCTTAGAAATTTCATATTTTCCCAAAAATTTTATTGTTTTGAGTGTGCCTGTTTTGCAGTGTTGTGTACTGTGTTAGGCTTTCTTTCCTCTTGGTTTCTCTGCTGGCAGCTAATGAGGAGAAGTGGCAGGCTTTTACTGACATCTAAAGCCATTTTATATAAATTGCTTAATTTGAAGCATGGCCAGCTTCTTAATAACATGTTGATGATTGTAGACGTGGCACATGAAATGTAATGTGCCTTCTTAACATTAGCTTTTAGAAATGTGTAGTTTTTTTACACTTAAACCACTATCACATTATGCAGAATATCATATATGTAGTGCAATATTTTGACAGGTCCAAACAGGGGGGAGGGGGGGTCCTATAAAAAGTTTCTACATTACTGTGAAAGTGGCTTATTATACAGGTGTTAAAAGTTGTAATAATTTAGCATGGTGCTTTCACTTCCAGATTTTAACAGCTTGTGAGGAGCAAAACCTGTGTGAATTTTTTTGCACTGATATGCTTTGTTCTCTCTTGCCTGTCATTAGGGGCATGTAAATTGGAGCTTAAGATGTTTTTTTTTATTGCAGATGGTGATGCTGATATTATTATTTTCAAAAAATTTCCGCATGTGTTTAATAATCATGATTGTGGCAAAGAGGCAACAATATTTGGTACTAGTATATAAGCCAACTGTGTTATTTCTCTTTTCTAAGCACTATTGACGTAACATGCAATTAAAGGGACTTGTTCTCATTGGTGTTCTTTCTTTATGCAGGCAGTGATGAGATGTTCTGTAAAGCAGAGACGCAGAAAGAAAGTATGTTGTACTGTGTAGCAATTTGCCCAGATTAGATATGTTGCAAGAGTTCCTTCCAAAAATGCTACCTCTCTCTATGCTTTCAGTAATAAGTGTTCAGAGCTGGGAAGGCGTTGGCAATTTTTCTTTATTTGGTTTTGTTTTCATTGAGCCATAATCTGTGCTATAAATAAGTGCGTGTTTGTGCGCACTTGTATGAGGGTGTTTGCTGTGTCATTGTATATAACTGTGTATTTATATACAAACACTATTTATATTTAGAAATAATAACGTTAATTTGAAGGTTAAAACAGTTCTGTGAAGGTTTTTCGGTTTGTAGGAAAATACCAGAAAGTGTATAGGTTAACAGTTTATAGACATCAATGTATTGTATTTATGTATTTGTATTGAATCTTCTCTTTGAACAGCACAGCCAGCAGGCTTATTATACTGCTGGTGTGTTTATCATTCACTGACTCTCTCCTTAGTAATTTCAGTTCATTGAAAAGGTGATAGATAATAACAATGCCTTTTTTTCAGGCTCAAGCTGGCCCCTTGAACTCGGAGCCTGTTTTCCCTCTGAATTGTTTTTTGACTGTTTGCTATGTCTGTCAATTATAATGTTGTCTTGATATGACTGACTTAGACATACTGAAGATAACCTCTTGTTTTGTTTAAAGATTATTCCTAGATTTTTTTTTGTACTGTACGACACTTTTAACAGTTGTGTTGCAGTCAGGCTATCCTAACCTTATCATGGTTTCTTTTTGTGGAAAATTATCTGATGAGAAAATAGACCAATTCAATGATAGACATTATGACAATTTAAACTTAGAACAACCTAAACAGGTTGGTCTCTTGGCCAGAATTTAGCATGCTAATGTAATATATTCTGACTGTATAATATGTGATGACTTCACTTTAAAAAGTGTTCAATATATATATATATATATATATATATGTGTGTTATAGGGCCAGGGTGGACAGGATCCTCACCATGTGGCTGCAGATCATGCTTCACTGGTAGCCCAACAACAACTGCAACAGCAACAACAGCAACAGCAGCCTACCCAGCCGCAACAAGTCCAGCAGACTGGACCCCATCATGTATGTATACAGCTGCTTACAACCATGGTAATTTTCTGTGGGTAGAATTCAGATTCCTAAGTACTTTTTTCCAGGGGCATTTTTCTTGTACTGTTTTTATTTGGTTAGTTTGTCATACTTTTTTTTGTTCTGGAGTCTGTTGCATTAAAGTTATCGTTACACCAGTTTTTAATTACATTCCCAAACTTGGAAAAAATATTACGTTTCACACCGGACAATGGGTGTCACTGATGTTGCTGATTAAAAATTAAATTCAGAGTTCTGCTTAGTTTGAATTCATGGAGGTATTTCCATGTGTCTGTTTGTCCATCTGTTTGTCTACTGCAGAGCAGTGGATAAAAAGATTTATGAAGGCACATCAATGCACCAGGATATACCAAAATTCATTAGTAAGACATGTCATGAACCAGGCAGGAAATTTATAGAGTTCATTGATCATGCTGAAGTGAAAGAATTTTCAGGTTCTGTTTACCATAATGCCATTGTATGATAAACACAGATCCTATACTGATAGCGTCAGGTTATCATGTATAAATATCACAGCATGGTCTCCCCATGTTTTATGACAGGCGGCGACTGAGGGTCGACTGCATGTAGATATGGCAGCAGCACAGCAGTTTCAACAACAACAACAGCAACATTTACAACAACAACAACTGCCACAACAACAACAAGAAACACAGCCAGAGGTTGAGGGTTCTGAACAGGTTCTACAGCATCATCTTCTGAACCTTGACGGAGAATCCACGTCAACTCCTGTACAAAGGTAGGCAGGACCCCAGTATTTTTTGTTAATTTGGTCATCAATGATTTATCAACTTGCTTTCGAGATGCATGTTTGTAATTTAATTTTTGACATTTTTTTGCTCTGATAGGGTTGGACTAATCTGTTGTACTAACATTTGGATGAGATATGTGGGAAAACTTCTAAGAAGTATAAGGCTTATAATGTATTTTAAAAAAAACAACGTTTTGTAAAGGGTAGAATAATTATTAGCATAGTTGGGGCATAATTGTTGCTCAGATTCAAAAACCTGTTTTCTTTCCTTTTCCTTCTGTCAAATGTTTATATGAAAATGGCAAAATCTATTCTAGAAAAATGGAGTATACACATTTGTTAACATCAAACATGGTCTTGTTTACCTTGTTACCTTCCATATTTCTGTTTGCGTGGTATATAACTTTATATAATACTAATGCTCGAATGATTGGTTTTCCCCCTGAGGTTTTCCTTGACCAAAATGATATGACGTCCTAGCTGTTTCTTTGTGATAAACTAGACAAATTTTAGTTTTTCTTTTCAGTTTTTTTGTTTTCATCTTTAATTTCAGCAACTCTTGAGATTCTCACCAAAACTAGTTTTGGAATAATATTTCACAGACATGAATGATTGGTTGCAGTATTTTTGATATGATTAGATCAAACACAGTAAAAATATTTAATTGATTCTTGTAGTAAATCTGATCTGCATGGGGTGTGGTAGTGGTGATAAGGGTGTGGAGAAGGTCAATTTACTGGCACAATCAAATTTGATTTATTTTCTGATTGTTTGAAAATATTATAATTTTGTGTGCAAGAAGAATAAAGTAAGCATGAAAAGTATACCTGGTTTATTTATCTTTCTGAGAACATGGACAATGTTTTGACTTGTGCTACCGTGGTTGCCGCCATAGTATCTCTCTGCCCTTAAGATGTTTGCTATTATTTTAAAAGTGTCAGAAAATAGATTATTCTTATGCAGTGCAATATTGCTGAGCAAAGCGGTTTTATGTTTCATAAAATTAATTTAGATCACTTGTTGAAAAATTTGGAAACCTTCATTAGTCTTTTTTTCCTCTGGAGACACATTCACTTATGAGCTTATATGCAGGAAGACACTTACTTGAAAACTTGTAAAAAGATTTTAGAAGATTGACAAGGAAACACTTTAACTCATCCCAAAATAGTATAAAAAGTGGTCCTTTTGCTATGGCAGCAACCCAAAGCATGGCGTGTTTCTGTCATAATGCTGTCGATCCATTTACAGAATGCATGTTGGCAATGAGCAACAGCAACGACGTCCCTCTCTAGTCAGGTAAGTCCACGTACGATGCCTTACGTCACACACCACCGTCATCCTCATCAGCATCGTCATCATCTTCCTCATCATCATCATCTCTTCCCTGATCACTTCATACCGCCACACCCACTGCCACTGTGGCTTCCAGTTCCCATTCACTGGTGATTTGCATGCTGTGTGGATTTCCTCTCTCATATTCTTGCTTGTGCCTCTGTCCATTCCACAACCAAAATCTGTCATACTGACCTGTGTTTTTTCTCACGGTTGCCGTTTTGCAGTGATATCGAAGGTGGTCAAGCAGGGGAGAAGTCCGTGAAGAAGAAGTCAAGGACGAAGCGTAGGAAGACGCAGGATCGGCTGGTGCGGGTGACCATCCTGAACATCGAGGAGCAGGAGGAAGGCAACCTGGTGGAATGTCTGCTGGAAGTGGCCAAGGAGAAGCAGGTCACCTTTAAGTTTGATATCAGTGAGGATGGACCTGGGGACATTGCTGAGAACTTGGTAAGGTGGTTTTTATACAGGGTACTGACACTGCCTGTGAGCTTGACGCTTTGGTTTTGTTGCAAGGTGGAAAAATAAGCAAGATCTTAAAAGATTTCCCTTTAGATTAGTTAGGGGCGGATCCAGAGATATTTTCTGACAGTCTTTCAAATTATCTTTGTTGATCCAACCTCTATTTTTGACCGTCTTCTGACAGAAAAAATAAGATTCCTGCCAATGTAAACTCAAAAATTCTGACCATCTGCCAGAAGACGTTGTTTTGTCTGCCCCTGCATGTTAAAAAATTTTTTGTAACTTTCATGTTTTAAATTTTCACATAACTTCCCTGTTTTAATTAGTAATAAAACTCCTCCCTACCCCCCTCTTCAGATGATCCGCCAGCTGCTCCAGGCCCAGCACAAGGAGTTGTTTCAGGACCAGATGGGGGAGGTGATAGCCCTGGTCAAGGCCAATCCCAAACTGCTGGAGCTGGGTGGTCATGTCTGTGTCCCCCATACCACGGATAACACTCCTGTGACCAGCCCCAGGAGCTCTAGGAAACAGATGGCACCCCAGGAACAACAGGCATTGCAGAGAGAGGGAGAGTCCAATAGAGTGAGTACAGCCGTGTGATAAAACCTGGTTTGTTTGTACACTTGAGGTTATTTTCTATAATCCTTTTTTTTCCATATAATAAACTGTTGTTCTGTAACTTGCCAGACTAAGTTATTGCAAAGAATCTTATGGAATTCTGTCTTATGCGAGTACATTTTCTCCTTTATCAAAAATTCAAGTGGTTGGAATCTCTGAATAATAGGCTAATGCATCGTGACAATTGATTTCTGATTTCCAGAAACTTCTGTTTGACAACATGTCAGAGACTCCCATGCAGCCAGGGACATCAGTGGACTATGATGAGCCGCGTTTCTTTCTTCCCAGAACACCCTCTGGCTCTTCCTTGGCCTCTGGTGCCAACACTCCTGCTCTGAATGTTACAGGGAAGGGGAATGGGCCTTCAGGTAGGTATTATAAAGATGAGGTTTGCAACTTTAAGGTATAAAGTATGGTTTGTAAGATTTGAATGGAAAATATATGATGGTAACATTTTTCTGGTGGTTTTGACAGTTTGTTATGTTTAGCAATGGCTGCTTCCAAACAGATGCCTGTAGACATCAGTTGGGTTTAATTCCAATTTCAGTAGATTGTGGCTCCATTTTTTGAAGAATGTTCAGATTTTTGCCTGGATTCTGATGACAACGACTGAATAAGTCTCTTTTACGCCTTGTCCCAAAGTCATTATCATCCCAGTAGATTCAGTGCCCAGTAGTATATCCCTAATGTCTGTATATTTTAGGTGGAGTAGTGGCAGGTGGAACCACGGTTTTTGCAGGCACCAAATCTGTTGCTGCTAGTGCTCCTGTACTCGTTGGCACTGGTCAGCAGGCCACAGCAGTCAGTGGTTTGACCACTGGTGACCAGGCCAGCTCAACAGCGAGTGTTCCTGCTGCGATGGTAAGTACTGGTCAGCCAGCAGGTGGAGCCACTGCCGTCCAGGCTGGCGGTGGTAAGGTACAAACTGGAGGGCAACCAATGGCGGCAGCAATGACGACATCCACAGAGGACGGGATTCCCAAGAGCGAGGATCCTCTCACAAAGAGTTGGCCTACTGATCAGTTACAAGAGGCTACCAGACAAACGTACAGTAGAATGGTATCAGCCCCTGGAGAGGACTTGACTGCCGCTGCTCAGCCGACTGCCTCTGTCCCCCTGCATCTGAATGATCTCAAGGAACAGTTAGACAAGCTGAATCAGAAACAAAAGCCAGTGCCAGCAGAACAGCAGGGAGAGGTGAGAATTTCATTGATTTTATGCAAAGTTTTGTCATGTCTTAACAGTTAAATGATTTGAATCTGCAAAACTCAAAACTAGGTTCTTTTTGACAGAGTTATGTTTATGGCGTTTCTTGTTGTTACAGATCTTATGGGTAAATGTTAATGGTAAGCTGAAATCAGTAGATACACCCCAGGTAGCACCTTTTAGAATGACAATATCTAAGGCAAATTATGTTACTTTCTCTAAAATTGACATCATAAACTGTGTAAGGAATATGTGTTGTGTTTTGCCAAGTGATAATTATGCTGTATGTTGTTATAATAGAGCCAAGCCAAAGTGGACAGTGATGCCTCCCTGGCCGCAGTATCTGAGGACAAGATCACAGCAAGGTGAGTATAATAATAATAATAATAATAATAATAATAATAATAATAATAAATATGGTCCTTATTATGTACAGACACAGATGTGTCTGTACATATAGCCATCATCTGCGTCTGTCGTCGCCGTCGCCGTCGTCGCCGTNATATTCTGGAATATCTTTGATACTGAAGCTAAGAAAATTTGTATGGAAAAAAATGCAGCAGTATCCAACTTTTGATTTATATTAAGTTATTAAAGAAATTTCAAGTGCAACATCAGCAGTGAAATATTATTTGTGACGTACATACTTTCTCCTTCCAGCAGTGACAGTGAGAGTCCAGCCCTCACGGGGGACAAAGGCCCCAGTCGCCAGCTGTCCAAAACCAAGCGGAAGAGGACACAGGACCGACTGCCAGTGTTGACCGTCCTCACGTATCAGTCCACTGACCAGGGACGGGTGGTGGAGTGTCAGCTGGACGGGGCAAAGTCCAGGATGGTCACTTTCACTTTCGATATCGACGTGGACAAGCCTGAAGATATTGTTGAGAATATGGTAGGTGTCAGTGTGTGTGTGCGCCTGCAGAAGTGTCATAGCTGGTCTACTTTATTATGAAACTGCTTCTGTGCTGTAAGACATGTGTAGGCAGTAGTTTTGATTTATTTTTAAGACCAGTTTACTTAAAGAAGCTGGAGTCTTCGCACTTAATCACAAATAAAATGATTTTTGCTTCCATCTCTGACCCAGTTATGAATCATAAACCATGGTGTTACCTATTTCCAGTGTTCAGGCAGCTTTCTCTTGCCTATTCACAAAGACTACTTTATGGAGCAGCTGGAGGAAGTGATCAAGATCATGACCACCAACCCGCAGGCCCTGGATGCCGGCTCCTTCACCGTGCCTCAGCTTAAAGAGACCACGCCTGCCACCAGTCCCAGCCTCTCCAGGAAGGGGTCTGCTGCCGCTGACAGTGAAGTGGAGGCTAGAAAGGTAGGGCTCATGGTTAGCATTTTCAAATGTACAAACATTTTGTTTCTCTGAACCCCAATTTTCAAGCATTTTCTTCTTCTCCTACAATAGTGATGGGCCATATGCAATGGTTTTTGATGTATAGGTGAAATACTGAACAACATATCTTGATTATGGAGAAAAATAATTAGCAGATAATAATTCAAAGTGATTGATTCTCCAGAAATCAGATACATCGGAGGTCCACAGAGCAGCCCCTTGCTCAGCAACTGAACCAGTTACCGTGCCAACAGATTATGAAGCCTCTGGGGTGATGACCCGATCTGCTACTGCCATTGGGTTGTCCCAGGCCGACACCGTGCAGGCCCCCCCTGCTGGTGGGAGGGAAGACCCAGAGACAGGGACTGGGTTCCAGAGAACCTCCTCTGCTCCTGGGGAGCCTGCCGCCTTCGTGCCCGAGGGTTTGCACAAGCTGAACCAGCAGCTGACCCAGCTTTCACAGAGGAAGACTCCTGCTAAGGTGCAAGAGCAACAACCAGAAGGTCAAGGTCAGGCAGCAGGCCAGGGTCAAGGTCAGATAGAAGGTCAAGGTCAAGCAGCACAGACTCAGCAACCAGGCATGGCAATGGTACAGAATGCGCAGTATGTTCAACAGCAGCCGGCTTTGGTTCAACAACAACAGACACAGCAACAACAACAACAACTACAACAGCAGCAACAGCAGCAACAACAGCAACAGACAGCTCCAAAGCAAGTGCAACATCCACCGCAAGGTCAGCCACAACAGCCTGTACAAACACAACAGGCCCAGCAAGCCAAGCAGCCAGCACCAGCTCAACAACCAAAGGTGGCAGCACCAACACAAACAGCCCCAGGAGGAGCTCATCCCCAGTTTCTCCCCCCCTACGTGTACCCTCTGGCGCCCCAGCAGCAGCAGCAGTGGCTGCAGTACCAGCAGATGATGAACCAACAGGGGTATCCTATGCAGCAGTACTATGGCCCACCTTTCTACCCACCTTGGTATCCACCTCTACAGGTAACACTACGCCTGGTTATATTGTATACATATATAATCTAGCTCTATTTAAATCATGATAAATATATGAAGTATTTTGTAATTGTTGAAATTATCTTTTGATGTTTTAAATATTGTTTGAAAGTAAGTTTTGCTTGGTAGCAGAGTTCATAAAGTTTAGTATACATTTTAAAAAATTCTACAAGATTTTTTTTTCATTAATAAGATAATCACAGCAAATTGGATTGTTGGAATTGATTCTTCATTAAACATATTTATTTCTCTATGTTTTAACTGCTTATTTTACTCTGCAGTTTTGCATGAAGTGCTCTGTGTTTGCTTTTTTCTCTTGAAAAATTGTATGCTTCTATCTTGTTTCTGAATTATATATTTTTATTTAAAAAAATATAAAGAGCTGGTAAAAACTTTTTTAAATGTAACCATATGTTGTTCAGTTATTATATGTTATTTATTTTATTTTTATTTTTAATTTGCATGAATTCATGATACTTAAAAACTTCTCTTTCCATCTTAATATCATATTTAATACTGTGTCTTTTAAAAAATGTCTCTGTACTTTGTCAAGTCTTTTTATTTGTAATTTCAAGTTTTGTTTTGTTTTGGTCTTTCCTGTTTGTGATGTGTACATTTTCAGGGTCAGAAATCATATTCTTCAGTGCTTATTAATGCGTTGCAATTATACTGATCCCAAAAAGGGCCTTGATTGTTCTTCAATATGTGAGACCAGTTTGAATTCAAATTTAATGTTAAAACTGAAGAAGATGATTTGTGCTATTGTGCCTCTTTTTAAAGCGCCTTGTGATATTCTCTAATTGTGTCTAATTGTACTCTTCTATTTCAGTATTTCCTGTTCTCTTTTGATTGCCTAACGTGACTCTTTTACTCTTTCAGTGTTGTTGACTAACTTTTAACTGTGCTTTCTCTTTTTTCTTCTTTTTTATGTTTTTCCTACCTGTAAAGGGCCAACCTCAACAATACTTGTACCAGAATGCATATGTTGCCAATTATCTTCAGCAGATGATGCCATTCATGCAGATGCAGGGACAGATGCCTCAGCAACAGCAGATGGCAGCCCTGCCATACCAGCAACAAATGGGTCAAGGTCAGGTGCAAGGTCAAGGTTCACACCCTCAGTCTCCTGTAGGAACCCCAAGGAAGAACACCGGTGGTGCGGATGAAGGTGTCATCACCACTCAACCCCAGGGACTTGATTCTGCAGTGGTGGATCTGCTCCCCTTGACTCCCTCCAGACAGCGCAGGATGATAGGCCTACAGCAGCTGGAGCAACAGTTGATAGAGAAACTCTACCCTGGAACCAAAGTGGCCCATGGGTTCCAGACCTCCCCTCCACCAGCAGGAGCTGTGAATGCGCCACCAGGGCACTTGCTCCTCACACAGCCGTTGTTCCCTCCCCCGCTGCTGCCTGGGTCGCTGGAAGCCTCTGCGGGTGCTGTTGTGCCCTCTGCCACCTCCTCTGGTGCTGGTGTTGGAGGAGAAATGGGAGCACTTCCTCTTCCTTTGTCTTCAATAACCAGAGAGAAGAGTCCGGATGTTTCTGGTCAGGATGACAAACCAGCAGATGGTTCCTTGCCAGGGGAAGTGCCCACAACAGTTCCCAGCAGTAAACAAGCAGAGACAGAGCAACCTGCGTCCACAGAGGCTCCTACAACAGAGGCACCAGTTCCTGCAGCAAGAGAGAAAGTTGCTGCTCCTCCAAAGAGGAAGCTGTCTAGGTTTTCAGTGAAGAAGGTGGACAACGATCCACTGAAGGCAATACAGAGAACAGAAAGTGAGCCAGCAATGCCAGCCCGTCCCATGGATAGTCCAGCGGATGCCAAGCCAGCGACTGAGACAGTGCCCTCTACTGGTGGGAAAGGTCATCAACAAAGTACACAGCAAGCCCGGAGAAAGGGGCGTTTCAGTGTGACGACAACCAAGGACGCTGTAGCCCAGTCTGCGGCCCCTTCACATACTCCACCGCCGTCTCCCAGTCCAGTGACAGAGACACTGCCCACTACCACCACTAAATCTATAGACAGTTCTGCTTCTACTACCACTGTTATTACTACTAAACCTGCTGAAGGGGCATTGGTAGATAATAGTAACACAGCAACTTCTGATGTAGAACTGAGTGTGAAGACAGATGTTGGTGATAAACCCCCACCACCAACAACAACAGCAACAACAGCCCCAGCAGCTGGTGGTGGATTGAGAGATGTAAGTAGCACAGAGCACCTGCAGACTGTTAGTAACACTGTCACCAGTATAGGGCAGGAGAGTGGTTTGGGAAGTAGCGGGGCCTCCTCTCCCGTGGGAGACTTTCTTGAACACGAACATGAACATGACAGGCATTATGACACCTTGCCGCCAGTGGTGGCAAACTTGATCGCTGCCGACCTACGGCGCCATTCTCTGCCCGAGGTGCTCTCTAACAGCATGTCTTCTTTACCTGGTAGTGGTAGCACTGTTTTAAGTTCCACTAGTTCTAGTAGTCATCACATCTCCCCTCACAGACCTCCTCTCCATCCTAAAGTCAGCCACCTCCGAGCTCAGAGTGCTGGCAATGTGGCTTTCCCCCTGAAACCTTCACAACAACAACAGCAACAAATACAACAATTCCTACAACAACAGCAATTACAGCAGCAGCAGGGTCCTGTAACCTCCTCTGTGAGTGGCTTTGGTGTTGTGCCCGGTGGTGTGAAGCATGCTTATGTTCTGAGTGACGGTCAGTACCAGAGTGACCACCCTGACCCGACCACAGCTGGACTGAAGAAGACTCCCGTAACAGCTGACCCTGGCTTGAAGGTACCAACTGTTCTGTTGAGCACTACTAGTGACACTTGTTCCACTGCTACCATTGTTGTATCACCTCATTGTAACATTGCTGCTGCTGCTGCTACTACTAGTGTCATTAACCCTGATCACCAAATTCAGATCCATGAAGCCACCTCGCCTGAGGAACTAGCCAAAGGGTTGCACGTGGATGATGCTCTTATTAATACATTGTCACCCCAGCTTAACTACATATTTCATCATGACCATGACCATGCTAACCAACCTAACCAGCTACTAACTGTCAGTGAACCGTCGGGGCGCAGACGCTCTTTGTCTGTTAACTGCTGCATGGAGACATGCAGTCCACCCTCTCCACCTACACTAACACGCAGGGAGTACGCCGGGTCTTCCCCTTCACTTTACGATGAAACAGACTCTTATCCTTCATTTATAAACTACAAAACCAGGTCCACGCCCCAGTCCCCGACACCAACCCGTTACGGACATAGCTCTTTCCAGTTTCCACCAAACTTGCCCTTGGAATATGACCAGACTGCCTCTAAATTATACCCTCAGCGATCCCCAAGTCCGAATCCTCGGCTGAGTCCCAAACCATCCTCCGCCTTCACTCATAACTGGCCTAAACTCGGAAACCCTCCCAGTCGCCCCCAAGATTTCAGTGAACAGCAGTCAGTGTATAGGCCTCGGAGAGGGTCTGTCCCAGAGCCGAGTAGTCCTTTAGTCCACAGGGACCACAGTCGTCCCTCTGACTGCAGGGACACCTTTCACTCCATTCCTGTGGACTCCAGAGATGGCCGTAGTCATTATGACTATGGGTTCACTTCCTCCTCCTCCTCTTCTTCCTGGCAGGACTACTCCACTACCAAGCCTTTCCTTGAGGTAGTGCCTGGCTTACAAGGGTTTGGGAATGCTGCCTCTAACTTTGTTGAATTTGGCCATGATGTGGTAAGAGAGACCTAGGAACCCTGCAAAGGTTGAGGGATGAAGGCTTTGGGTGGGTGGATGTCGGTCTGTCTATACTGGGACTATTTGGGACTGGATATTGGTCCAATTTGTGTCATTAAGAATGTGAGTGATTAACCAGGGATTTGGTATTTTAGGCACTGTTAAGTAGTTGTACCCCATCCCCCATGCCCCTCCCCTTGGAAGGCCCTTTTGGTCTAAGATATTTCAATTCCTTGTTAATCAACCTGGTTATCAATAACACAAGCTAATTCTACTCTCAGTCCAATATTATCTTGATATAAACAAGCTTTTTGGTGGTGTGGAAGCTTTTGATGGATGGGACCAGTGGAGATTTTAATGTAAAATCAGGATTATCAGTTTTCACACATGTTATTTTTCACAATTCGAAAATAGTCTTATTTTGAACTAAAAATCTTGTCATTTTCTGTTTGTAAGTGTTTGTAAGTAGTACTTTCACAATTCACCTGCAAAAGCACTAAAGAATAGTATATATAATATTGCCCAGATATTTTCATTGTCTTGTGGTCTGGATATGGTCAAGTCACACGTAGGTACCTTGGCTGCAATGTGTTCATTTTGGATGCCATTGTTTCTTTATTACGCACCATGTTCGTAACTAAAAAGCCAAGTTCTAAGTTCAAAGTAAACTTTGGCCCTAGTGTTCATTTAGAATTATCTAGTCCTAAAAGGTCTGTACAAACTTATGAATACAACATTGACCATCGACCATTTCTTTGCTGAAATATGAAAACCCATGAAACTCTTCATCCATTTTGCACAGACAACATTTCACCATTTTCAACTTTTGGTCTACTTTTGAATGCAGTTGATGCAGAACGTGTTAGCATTTTTATCAAATGGTTTATAAGAAGGGAGGGAAGGTAATAAGTAGAATAAACTGATTCTTGACAGGATTAGGGTTGATGTAATTTTACCCCCACATCTTGGATACATTTCCGATGATTGCCATTGTGAAATCCTTGCATCCCTCCTGGCAGTAGCTCAGATAGATAGAACCCACCACCCCTCTCTGTCGTATCCCTCAGCCTTGCAGTTGTTCTGTATGATTATTTCATTATTTTATTACTCTTTATTATTTTTGGCTGTGCTTCTGTGATTTATTTATTAATTATTATCAATTTTGAGCAAGGTTTTGATAGTGTAGATGATTTTGTCTGCATCCAAGCTTTTTTTGATTTTGTCTGCTGTTATAATGCCTGTATGATGTGAATGTTAAACAAGTGCAACAGCCTATTTAAAAGTGGAAAATAACCAATCGTTGTCACCTGCCTGCTTGTTTGATCAATGTTGTCTCACAACAAATGCCATATAGAATGTACACACTGAAGGTAACTTACAAACTAAAATTGAATAAAGTAACCTAGTGTAGATGATCCATGTATTCACATGAAGAAATCGACTAAGAAAACGACACTTTCAGAGGACACTTATTGACACAAGGAATTAAATTTGTCAAATTTCATCACATAAACTCTGCATAATTTGTATTTTGGTAATTCATCTGTACATGACATATTATTCATGAAGGTTCATACATTGGAAAGTAACTCTGAAAAGCATTTGGTCTATTTACTAGCTAGTGTCTGTGGCTAATGATTACACCAAAATCTTGACACACTTTCATAAGATTATACAGTATGATTAAGTTCAGATTTTCTACCCATCCTGACCTGCTATGATTAGCCAAAATATATTTATGATGCGAAGCTTTTATTAAAGCCAGTGCTTATTTTAACTGCTAATTATTGTGTATTAAGTAATGAGTGGTAGAGTGGAGCAGGATTATTTCTTAGCTGATCAGCATTTGTGTATGATTGTATGGAATATGGGAATAGCTTTAATGAATTGATTTGGTTGATTTGATTTTCATAAACAGTCAACTTAACAGTACATATGTAAGCATTATCTATAACTTAATTGCAGCCTGTGAATATTTATATTTATAATTGCATTTTAAGGACATTTAAAAAATGTTAATGGGCTTGCACTGGCACAGAATATAAAAATTCCACATAAGCATTTACCTATAACTTAACTGCAGCTAGTGAAAGAAATTGCTTTTCTTGCATTTTAAGGAAATTAAAAAAATATTCTAATGCTTCATTTAATCCAATTTTTATCAAGCCAATAACGTTGGAAGAACAATTTTAATCTGCCTTAAAAATACCTCTGAAGTGGCCAGTGTTGTGTGTGTGAGTAGTGCGGGTCCAGACACCCGCCATGGTTTTTCTTAGTAGTAATTAGCAGTTATTTTCAGTAGCCAATAATCAGTCATGCTAACCTTGTGTGTGTGATTGTCTCCTTTGTCAGGTCCCAGAAAACCCTGGACAGATCATGAATATGTTGTACCAAGTCCAGTATACCATGGACCCTGAATATCAGCAGATACTCTCCAGGTGAGACATTACAAAAAGATGTTTTGTTCGGAAAAAAAAAGATGGGGTGACCTCTTTGCTTTGGTTTATATGAGGACTCCGCCTTGTTGAACACTATATGCAGTTTCTTTTTCTGCTGCTGCTCAACTGTGTTGAAATATCCTGAAAAGATGTGTTTGATTCACAAAGAATGTCATATCATGTAATTGTAAAATTATGCAGTTAACTTAAAAATGAATGAAATATTGACAGTGAAAAATGCATTTAGAAATAAACATTAACTGTAAGTTGTAAAAGTGAATGTCCTTCAGTGAACAGGATTTCTTTATTTCTTACAGACACAAATCAGAGAGGGATGACCTGATACAGAAACAGACAGGAGAACTGCACGAGTACCACAAACACAAGATGCAGCTTTTCAAGCTCCAACATCACCAACAGCAGCAGCAGCTTCTCCATCAACAACAACAACAACAGCATCAGGTGGGAGGGGGTGGCAGGACATCAGACACCCAACAACAACAACAAGCACCTGCTGGTACAGTGCCCCAGGCTGCAGAGGGGGCGGAAGTGGAGAGAAGGTCAATAGATATGCCAGACACCAAAACAGGGGCTTTGTCCCAGCAACAACAACAACAACAACAACAACAACAGGCTCAACACTTCGGTGTTCCTGCAGCCAGTCTTTCCTACCCCCAGCTCTACCATCCAGCAATGTTCGTCCCACAGCAAGCTTCACTTCACCACCAGATGGAGACACTGATGGAGGGCAAAACCCAGAACGTCGCAGATGACTTTCTGCATTATACAGACTTTTCCCGAGCTGGCCAACAGCAGCAGCTGATGATGGAGCAGCCCAAGCCGTCTCAGAACCAGCTGAAGCAGATGCAGCAGCAGTTTGACAACATGCACGTTGGGGTGCCCGTGAAGAGGACTCAGAGTCTGAAGGGAGAGACCTGTACCCAGGGTCAGCAGGTGCTTGATATTAGCCACCCTCACTCCCACCACAGTGGGTCAGCGGGCACCACACCCCAGTCCACTCCCCCTCTGACCAGGAAGTGGTCCACGGAAAGCTTGCCGCAGATGACCACAGCTAGTACCCACCAGCCAGGTGTGGACAGCAACAGTAACAACAGCATGCCCCCTACTGGTACCAGTATGAACTATTCCAATGTTTCCCTCCCTGAGCAGCAGTATTACACATACCACGGACATGGATCCATTAGTGGGCATTATATGGGTGCGGGTGGGGGTCAGGGGATGCCACAGCACCCACCTCCACACCCACATGGCATGCACCCAGTTCACCATGGACAGCAGATGTATGGGGCTGGGGTCCCCATGTACAGCCAGCCACTACAACACTATGTGCATGGACAAGGTCAAATTGCACCCCAAGGTCAAATACATGGGCAAGGTCAAATTGCAGCCCAAGGTCATTTGCATGGCCAAGGTCAAATTGCACCCCAAGGTCAAATGCATGGACAAGGTCAAATTCCCAGTCAGGGTCAGATGCATGGGCAAGGTCAAATTGCAGCCCAAGGTCAAATGCAGGTGCAAGGTCAGATGCATGGCCAAGGTCATATTCCTGGTCAGGGTCAAATGCATGGCCAAGGTCAAATGCTGGGTCAAGGTCAAATGTCAGATGTATGGCCAACCAGTCAAGTGACTACTTATCCTGCTCATACGATACAGGCACCATCAGCATCGCACCCAAGTTGATCCTTTCTTAGAAATGAGATGTATATATATATGAATGATTATCATTACTATGTAATCAACATCATCATGGAAGTGAAAAGCTTCATGCTTCGCAAAGTGCATGTCGTGTGCATGACTTGAATTGCCAAATGTCTTTCAATGCACTGTATATGCCTTACCAGTACATGTAACTGCTTTTGTATCAAAAGGACAGTTCTTGTTTATGACGTTTGATTGTAAAAAGATTGAAGAAGAAAAAAAGCATTATAGTGTGATGCAGACAAGGTGCTGAGAACATAGAGAGAGCTGTAGTAGTTCAGAGAGCACAGTGGAGCCAGGTTTATCCCAGCACACTAAGCCATGTGCAATTATCTAGTAGAGAGATGTAGGCCTAGAGCACAGTGAAGATAGGGATAACTGTAGTTTTCTCAACTGAACTGAGACTAGAATTTTAGGTGGAATAGATGGAAAATGTTTGATATATTTGGTAAAAGTGTGCATTGAACAAAGCAGATCTGAGTTCTGGAACCTGCCTCAATATGCTCTTCTAATGTTCTGCACTGATTGGATCCTGAAAACTCTCCTCCAAGGTGGCTTCAAAACTGTAGCAGTACTAGTGGTATTACTGCCATATTTTTCACATCTAGAAAACTGCACCCAAACTTGAAGATTTAGCGGGGAGATTTCCTACTCCTGAGACAATACTGTAGCTGATTGGAATAGGCAAAGTTGCTAGATGTCAGACTATAAGCTTGAGCAGTGTAATAGCTATGACTCCATAATGCCATTTTCTGCCATGTATCTGCCATGTATTATGTCATTGCTTATAATATTTAAGGACACTGTTAACTACACTTTCAAACAGTACTGTGGAATATTAAGCTTTTTGTAACACAGTTGTCATATTAGACTTCATAAATATTTAACCTTTCTGCTACAATTTGCCGTGTTGAGGACAACCAATTAGTCAGATTTAAAACTGTATTGATGCTTGTGATGAACTATATCCCCTTGAAAACGTACAGTGTAGCCAAGTTATTTAAGCATTACACAGTTTTCTTTCTGGATTGAGATGTAGAGCTACAGTGATACACATGCTGTGTTGTAGTGTACACATCACAGTGTTGACAATATTGTATACCACTGTTTACCCCCATGTACCAATACTGTTGCCTACTCGTACCCGTTTTTATGCATATTTTGCATATTGTATGGGGCAGAGCCAAGTAGGTCTTTTGGTCCTAGGTAAAATCTTCTGACATTTTACAAGTCCATGCCTTTTTTGCCCTGGATTCTATTAAATCTGGATCTAAAGGTTATTTCAAGCGTAAATTAGGTTTGTTTTCATTTTTTAATTTGTTGATGATAACTTATTGCTATGGAAATTAGTTCTGTATATATGACGATGCTCTCTCCAGGATAAACCAAGTTCACCCAGTGTACCTATCTCCTCCAAAATGTTACATAATTTACTTTCCTATATTTACCTTTGGTTCTCGACCTGATTTTGATTTGACATCTGCCTTGTAGCATTTTTGGCTGGAAGTACTGTTATCCTGTAGTGAGCTTAGTATGGTTGCTGATTATCAGAGGCTTCTGGCCTTTTGTCAAGTTTATTCCTCGGCATGGGGATATGAAGTCGTAATTCCGTAAAAGGTATTTATGGCTGTATTGAGCAATTTCTTTCCTTATTTATTATTTCCTTATTTATTTTATTAATTAAAAAATTTAACTTGAGGCTCCTGATATATTATGGTTTTCTGATATTGTAAGGACAATATTTCAAAGGTGTTTTGTTTCTCAAGCCTGAAGAACAAATAATCAATGGTATTTTTACTTAAAGAACAGTGAATGCATCCAAGCACAGATTACTTCTGATGTGGGTTTCTTGTAACTTGGATTTTCCTATATTTGACAGTGGCACGGCAGTGTATAAATTGTCACACATACTCGCAGTAGTCGCTAGTATATCGATAGCTTATTGATAAGACTCCCAAGTTGAGGCCGAGTCCCAACCTAATTGTATTATGCCTATATCTGCTAGGGGCAACACAATTGGCATTTAAATATATCTTTATAGTTGGTTTCTCTGTAGTTATATTATTTTAGGTGATGTCTGCATAAAATGCATAATCTTGGGAGTTAAAGAAAAGAGATATTGAGGAAATACACTTAATTGTGACGTAGCAGTGTAACATTTTGTCTCTAGACTGGTAGAGTACAGTTTATGAAGAAGAGGGGTCTTCTAGGGTAGAGTAGGCGGGCGCAGTTTGTACATCTTTGTATAATGTTATACATTGCCTCATTTTTGTACAGTCGAATATCATGTGATAATTTTTTTGTCATTTTTCATTTTGTATAATATTCATGATTTCCAATGCTGCTCACTTGGTGTGGCAAGCCAGCGTGTTGTATGAAGAGAATATGGTGCAAACGGTATGAAGATGGGTTATATTGATTGCTGAATTTTCATTATTTAAGTATTTGAATTTATTGAAAGGGATTAACTAGTTCTATGATATTGATGTTATAAGTTTGGTTTAAGCTGACGGCTTTTTGTACAGAATTGCGATCCTGTCGGTGAAGAAAAAATGTTATTTATCAAGAAATACGTTGTTTTGTTTTTCTTTAATTCCTTAAAATCAGAGGTATATTGCTTATAATAATATAATTATTGATTTCTTTTGAGAAAGGGGTGTGTTACTCTTATCCAAATCTATTCTTGAAATCTATTTTCACCCACCAGGAATCGGGGGGCGGGGGGGGGGGGGACTTAAATTTAGTTTTTGCTTCAATTTTTTTCAGTGTAACACGAGGGAAATGACCAACAGGCTTTTCTTTAATGAACTATTTAAAAGTTTTTAAAAATTTAATTGGGTGACTATTACCTTACACTCGTGATCAATAATTGCCGCTGAAGTTCTTAAAAATCGGACAAGAATGGCTTTCTGCCTCTTGATTGTGTTAGCTGCTGTAACTAAAACACTGAGGGCTCCAGATCCCGCTCTGATATTAAGGGCCTGTTAAATGTATAGACAGTGCAATTATTTAGTAACCGACTACTAGCGCATCCTGCAAACAGATAGTAGCAGCGTGCGACCAGGCGGCTTTTTTGTTTTGAGGTGATGCTTGTACGTGAACACCTAATCCCCAAAGTATTACGTGTCTATTTGTTACCCTCTACCAGGGCGACTGATAGATTTTTCACAGATATTCACAGGTATGTCTCTAGATAGATGGTCATTTTGGTTCAAACTCAGTTTGGTTCAAACTCAAAAACTGAAAAGCATGCATTGAACCATGTTGGAAGAAAGACCACATTGGATTTTTTAAACCTACAATTGAACAATGTTTTCAGTTTTTATTCTCTAAACTTGAAAAGCGGATATGGTAAATGCCAGTGCATTTGTCTTACTGAGCACAAAAATGAAAATGGGATTTAGTTTTTTTCGGTTTCAGCACATGTAACTGACTTCTTTCTAGGACTCAATATTCAGTCCTATATTGGATATTGAGTCCTAGTTTCTATCAATATCTACATCAAAACTGAAATATTCAACCTTAAAAGAAGTAGTGAAGTACACATTTAATATCCCGTAACACAAATAAGTATATTTTTGGCCAAGTTAGGTAGTGGTTCAGATTTAAACTGTTCGATTCAAAGCTATAATATTTACCGTTGCCTTCGCAACTCTGCTTCCTGACTGACGTGGCTAAAAACGTAAAGCCGCACCTAGAGGCGTCTACAGTTAACTCCGGCCAAATCCGGATACGGTCATGTCTGTGAAGGCTCTTGACGTCATCACAGCGGAAGGACAGTCCCACCTCGCTATCAGTACCGAACACCCGACCTAAACCGCGTCTGTCACAATGAGATTATCTTCTTTTTAAAGTGAAAACCCGCATACCTTTAGATCTAAACGAACGAGTCATCTATACACCCATCTTGAAAGGAATTAGAAGTTTTAGTTTTTATTTTGGATGGATGTAACCGGGCCCTGAAGTTTTGGACATAAAAAATGGACTTAGTTGCGTGTTTGTTGTGTTTGCTTATTTCCAGTAGGTCTTGGCAGAGTTCATGGGCATCGGGGGTACTCTACCCTCACGGGACGACGGAGGGGGACGCGGTGGCACCTAAGAACGACGATGGTAGCACGGGAATGATCCACATCACCGTAGAATTCCCTTACTTTGACAGCCTCCATACATCACTCTATGTAAGTCACTATACGACAGTTTACAGTATGTACATTTTATTGTCGTGTCGTTTTATTTGTAGCGTTTATAAATTGATTCTTGACACTATACTGTAAATTTTTAGGGCCCCTTGCCATTTTTTGTCGAATGTGCCATAAAATGGATTATTATTATTATTATTATTATTATTATTATTAAGAACGCTAATTGTATAGTTTAAACAAAACTTAAGATTTGGCCTACCTGTACTTTTATCAACACATCAAATTGAACTAAGCACTCCTGATGATAAAATTTGCGTTTTAGCAAATAAATACATATGTACGGATGGAACCTTCCTAAAACCAGCATTCTCGAGCCAACCCCCAACATTGCTTCAATCCAAAACCTCCACCACTTTCACCAGTTGTATTCGGAATATTGTGATAAAAACTGCCTTTCGTCTTACTTCGCTCAGGTGGACACAAATGGCGCCATCTCGTTCCTCCGAGAGGTCAGCCAGTACACCCCGGACGCCTTCCCCCTGGGGAACAACTGGCGTCTCATAACGCCATTCTGGGCAGACGTCGACACCAGGTACAACCACGGCGGCGTTTACTACCGGCAGACGACAGATGCCAGCATTTTATCGCGCGCTAATGGTGACGTCAGAGGGGCATTCTTGTCTCAGGGACGTTTTGAAGCCACGTGGGCTTTTGTCTGTACGTGGGCGAACGTGACTTATTATAGAAGAAACGAGGATACAGCTGCGACATCAAACGTGAGTGGTGTCACGTATATTAGAAAACTGTTTATAATTATTCGTTTAATCATGTATAATGAAAATGATGAACATGTATCAAAGGCAATTATAGGGCTTACTTTCCCTAAAATATATACCGAATATGACATTTTTAACGTTTTACCCAAGATGTATGACACTCCTATGTTTTAAAACTAACATTTACCAATTTTCACAGACGAATACTTTCCAAGCAGTCTTAGTGACAGACGAAATACACTCTTTCGTCATCTTCAACTATGACGTCATCACCTGGACCACGGGGTCTGCCAGCGGGGGGTCGTCAGGTACAGGAGGAACTCCAGCGCAGGTCAGGGAAAGAAACCTTGTATTTCTATCGTGAAACAATGATGAATACAAAAAAGAATTCCCCATTAACAAGTTTGACAAATATTTACGGTGGTCAACCAACATTAAACATGATAAATCTATATATCATATATGTTACTAGCCTATATATGATATATATGACGCTGATCATATTTAAGCAATTTTAAAGTCAATCAGTGATCAGAATATACATTGCTGAATGGGATTCAACAAGTTTGGGTCTCGATTAATATTGGACAACAGTTTTATTTTGATATCCACCCACTTACGCAGCATGTTCTCTGGTCGAGAAAGTATTTCATGTAGGGTCCATTATACATATNTATATATATGAATGATTATCATTACTATGTAATCAACATCATCATGGAAGTGAAAAGCTTCATGCTTCGCAAAGTGCATGTCGTGTGCATGACTTGAATTGCCAAATGTCTTTCAATGCACTGTATATGCCTTACCAGTACATGTAACTGCTTTTGTATCAAAAGGACAGTTCTTGTTTATGACGTTTGATTGTAAAAAGATTGAAGAAAAAAAAAAGCATTATAGTGTGATGCAGACAAGGTGCTGAGAACATAGAGAGAGCTGTAGTAGTTCGGAGAGCACAGTGGAGCCAGGTTTATCCCAGCACACTAAGCCATGTGCAATTATCTAGTAGAGAGACGTAGGCCTAGAGCACAGTGAAGATAGGGATAACTGTAGTTTTCTCAACTGAACTGAGACTAGAATTTTAGGTGGAATAGATGGAAAATGTTTGATATATTTGGTAAAAGTGTGCATTGAAGAAAGCAGATGTGAGTTCTGGAACCTGCCTCAATATGCTCTTCTAATGTTCTGCACTGATTGGATCCTGAAAACTCTCCTCCAAGGTGGCTTCAAAACTGCAGCAGTACTAGTGGTATTACTGCCATATTTTCACATCTAGAAAACTGCACCCGAACTTGAAGATTTAGCGGGGAGATTTCCTACTCCTGAGACAATACTGTAGCTGATTGGAATAGGCAAAGTTGCTAGTTTTATCATCCATATACTATATGTCAGAATATAAGCTTGAGCAGTGTAATAGCTATGACTCCATAATGCCATTTTTCTGCCATGTATCTGCCATGTATTATGACATTGCTTATAATATTTAAGGATACTGTTAACTACACTTTCAAATAGTACTGTGGATATTAAGCTTTTTGTAACACAGTTGTTATATTAGACTTCATAAATATTTAACCTTCCTACTACAATTTGCAGTGTTGACAACAAGTTACAGTCAGACTTAAAAAACTGTATTGATGCTTGTGCTGAACTATATCCCCTTGAATACGTACAGTGTAGCCAAGTTATTTAAGCATTACACAGTTTTCTTTCTGGATTGAGATGTAGAGCTACAGTGATACACATGCTGTGTTGTAGTGTACACATCAGAGTGTTTACAATATTGTATACCATTGTTTACCACCATGTTACAATACTGTTGCCTACTTGTACCCTTTTATGCATATTTTGCATATTGTATGGGGCAGAGCCAAGTAGGTCTTTTGGTCCTAGGTAAAATCTTCTGACATTTTACAAGCCCATGCCTTTTTTGCCCTAGATTCTATTAAATCTGGACCTAAAGGTTATTTCAAGCATAAATTAGGTTTGTTTTCATATTTGATTTTGTTGATGATAACTTATTGCTATGAAAATTAGTTCTGTATGTATGACAATGCTCTCTCCAGGATAAACCAAGTTCACCCAGTGTACCTATCTCCTCCAAAATGTTACATAATTTACTTTCCTATATTTACCTTTGGTTCTCGACCTGATTCTGATTTGACATCTGCCTTGTAGCATTTTTGGCTGGAAGTACTGTTATCCTGTAGTGAGCTTAGTATGGTTGCTGATTATCAGAGGCTTCTGGCCTTTTGTCAAGTTTATTCCTCGGCATGGAGATATGAAGTCGTAATTCCGTAAATGGTATTTATGGCTGTATTGAGCAATTTCTTTCCTTATTTATTATTTCCTTATTTATTTTATTAATTAAAAAATTTAACTTGAGGCTTCTGATATATTATGGTTTTCTGATATTGTAAGGACAATATTTCAAAGGTGTTTTGTTTCTCAAGCCTGAAGAACAAATAATCAATGGTATTTTTACTTAAAGAACAGTGAATGCATCCAAGCACAGATTACTTCTGATGTGGGTTTCTTGTAACTTGGATTTTCCTATATTTGACAGTGGCACGGCAGTGTATAAATTGTCACACATACTCGCAGTAGTCGCTAGTATATCGATAGCTTATTGATAAGACTCCCAAGTTGAGGCTGAGTCCCAACCTAATTGTACCACGTCTATATCTGCTAGGGGCAACACAATTGGCATTTAAATATATCTTTATAGTTGGTTTCTCTGTAGTTACATGATTTTAGGTGATGTCTGCATAAAATGCATAATCTTGGGAGTTAAAGAAAAGAGATATTGAGGAAATACACTTAATTGTGACGTAGCAGTGTAACATTTTGTCTCTAGACTGGTAGAGTTTATGAAGAAGAGGGGTCTTCTAGGGTAGAGTAGGCGGGCGCAGTTTGTACATCTTTGTATAATGTTATACATTGCCTCATTTTTGTACAGTCGAATATCATGTGATAATTTTTTTTGTCATTTTTCATTTTGTATAATATTCATGATTTCCAATGCTGCTCACTTGGTGTGGCAAGCCAGCGTGTTGTATGAAGAGAATATGGTGCAAACGGTATGAAGATGGGTTATATTGATTGCTGAATTTTCATTATTTAAGTATTTGAATTTATTGAAAGGGATTAACTAGTTCTATGATATTGATGTTATAAGTTTGGTTTAAGCTGACGGCTTTTTGTACAGAATTGCGATCCTGTCGGTGAAGAAAAATGTTATTTATCAAGAGATACGTCGTTTTGTTTTTCTTTAAGTCCTTTTCACCAGAGCTACATTGCCTATGATAATATAATTATTGATTTCCTTTGAGAGAGGGGTGTTTTACTCCAATAACCCAAACCTAATTCTTGAAATCCATTTTACTCCCAACAAAAATGGGGGGGGGGGGGGTTAATTTAGCCTTTGCTAATTTTTTCAGTGAGGCGAATGACCAACGGGCTTTCTTTTAAGGAACTATTTAAAAGTTACGAAAAAAATTTAATCAGTTGATTTTTACCTTACACTCGTGATCAATAATTGGCGCTGAAGTCCTTGAAAAATCCGACAAGAAAGGCTTTCTGCCTCTAGATTGTGTTGGCCGATGTAACTGAAAAACTGAGGGCTGCAGACCCCGCTATGATATCAAGTGCCCCTAAAGTATGTAGGCAGTAGAATGATTTAGTAACAGACTACTGGCGCATCCTGTGAACAGAGAGTAGCAACATGCATAAGATTGGTGTTTGTATTGTAATAGTGGGGGAAGGAATTAAATTTTTCAGTAGAACTTGCATATATAAAAATCAATTTTTGAAAGAATTTGTATGAAATAGGCGTCCATAGCGTAAATTCAGGCAAGTGACTAAGAAGTGTACGCAATTTTTTTCAAAAATGGTAGAAAAGTTTTTTTTTTTTTTTTTTTTTTTTGTTAGTAAAAAGTAAAAAATGATGACAACACAGTTTGCGTTAAAAAAAGAACATTATTTACAAATGTTACTTATAGACACGCGAAGACTAAATGATATTTTATTCTTATCTTCTCACCAGCCGCAGTGCAGTGTGGACGTGAAGAGTCACCCGAGAAGTTGTGTATATATTTAGAAAAGTTAGAATTCACATTTTCTAAATTCACGTTCGCTTTTACATATGCCATATATTGAACTGTAAATATTGAGCCGGTGTTTTTGTATAAGCAAACTTTACTCGGGGAAGTTTTCTGTCATTATACAGACAAAAAGACAAATTCATAATGTTAGAATTTTCTGGCTAATTTATGTGGCTGCTTCGTTTCCCACTTCAGACGGCGCTATCGTAACAAACAGTTCAAGTCAAAGCATATAATATTACCGTTGAATTCGCGCCTCTGATTCCCGACTTACGTAGTTTAAAACGTAAGGCCGCACCTAGAAGCATATACAGTAAACCCCGGCCAAATCCGGCTACGGTCATGTCTGTGACGGCCTGTGACGTCATCACAGCGGAAGGACAGTCCCATCTCGCTATCAGTACCGAACACACGACCCAAAACCGCGTCTGGCACACTGAGATTATCTTTTTTTAAAGTGAAAACCCGCATACCTCTAGATCGAAAAGAACGATTCATCTATACGCCCAACTTGAAAGGAATTAGAAGTTTTAGTTGTTTAAAATTAAAATTTGGATGGATGTAACCGGAACCTGAAGTTTTGGACATAAAAAAAATGGACTTCGGTGCGTGTTTGTTGTGTTTTTTTATTTCCAGTGGGTTTTGGCAGATGTCATGGGCGGCTGGGGTACTCTACCCTCACGGGACGGCGGAGGGGGACGCGGTGGCACCTAAGAACGACGATGGCAGCACGGGAATGATTCACATCTCCGTGGAATTCCCGTACTTTGACAGCCTCCATACATCACTTTATGTAAGTTAATATACGACAGTATAACTTTTATTGTAAGTGTGGTTTTATTGTTTTAATGTCAGTTCTTTTAGAGTAATTGTTATGCCTGCAATAGAGGGTGGGTTGGTTTATCAAAACTTTAAGCAACGCACTCTTGTTGATATAAATTCGCGTTTCAGCAATAAATACAAATGTACGGCCACAGCATCCCTACACGTGCAACACCAGTGTTCCCAAACCGACCCCCAACATTGTTTCAATCCAAAACCTCAACCAGTTTCACAAGTTGTATTCAGAATTGTAATAAAAGCTGCCTTTCGTTTAACTTAAATTTCCTCAGGTGGACACAAACGGCGCCATCTCGTTCCTGCGAGAGGTCAGCCAGTACACCCCGGACGCCTTCCCCCTGGGGAACAACTGGCGTCTCATCACGCCATTCTGGGCAGACGTCGACACCAGGTACAACCACGGCGGAGTTTACTACCGGCAGACGACAGATGCCACCATTTTAGCGCGCGCTAATGGTGACGTCAGAGGGGCATTCTTGTCTCAGGGACGTTTTGAGGCCACTTGGGCTTTTGTCTGTACGTGGGCGAACGTGACTTATTATAGAAGAAACGAAGATGCGGCTGCGACATCAAACGTGAGTAGTGTCACTCACGAAAACTGTTTTAATTATTCGTTTACTCATGTATAATGAAAATGATGAACATGTATTAAAGGCATGTGTAATTTCCCTAAAATATATACGGAATATGACATTTTTAACGTTTTACCCAAGATAAATGACACTCAGGACTATGTTTTGAAACTAACGTTTACCAATTTTCACAGACGAATACCTTCCAAGCAGTCCTAGTGACAGACGAAATGCACTCTTTCGTCATCTTCAACTATGACGTCATCACCTGGACCACGGGGTCTGCCAGTGGAGGGTCGTCAGGCACAGGTGGGACGCCAGCGCAGGTCAGGGAAAGAAACCTTGTATTTTAATCGTGAGACAATGGTGACTTCAAATATATGCTTCCCCACATGCTTATTACAAGTCAGATCTATCGAAGCATCTACGATTTAGATCTTTTTGACAAAATATCATGATGGTCAGCCAACATTATACCAGTACATAATAAGAAAGCCTTTATGTTATATTTGGCGCCGATTATATTTAAGAATCGTTAAGTTATGGGGCTTCGTTTGGTCAAAATATACAGACCTGAATGGGATTTAGCAGGTTTGGGTCTTGATCAATATATATTGGACGACAGTTTAATTTTGATATTCACCCACATACGAAGCATGTTATCTGTCGAGAAAATATTTCATGTACGGCCCACATAAACCGGAACTGTGCATATACATATCGGGTCTTGGGTTAACCAATCATCTTTCCATTTCTAGGCTGGATTCAACGCTGGTGACGGTAAGCGTTATTTCAGCGTTCCAGGCTCGCGGACGGCCGCCATCATAGACGTGGAGAACACCACGAATGTTGGTGTACCGGGACGATGGGTGTTTCAGGTAGACAACGCGGAGGTCACTGCTGCGGGGGACTGTAGTAGTAGTAGTAGAGGTACGTTATCTGACAAGCCAGCATTTTTCTGTTTGATTTTCTAACTGAGTGTAAGGGCTTCATAAATGTCCACATTTCTGTTTATATATATCATAAATATGCATCGATCTTGAACATAAAAACAGACTATTATTTAATTCTTATCTAATACACGTATATACAGCTTCAACCACACAATGATGTGCTGCTGGTATAAGTTCTGTGGTAGCGCCGTCTAAGTAAGGCTAAGCTAAGCAGTATGGCTTATGTTATTATTATTATTTTTTTTTTGGTAAGTGACACCACAATATTTCAGTGAACTATTGCAGGAGGTCTTGTGGTTTCCCCCATCCAGGGTCTCATATACGGTGGAACCGAAGTCTTTATGTCAGGTCCCTGCTTCAATGAGACCGATGACCTTGTATGCAAATTTGGAGGTCAAGCAGTACCCGGATACTACGTCAGCGAATTGCGCGCGAAGTGCTTCGCCCCGCCGTTGTTCAACAAACAGCGCGTCAGCTTCCAATTGTCCACTGACGCTGGGAAGTCTTTTAGATATAGAGCGTTTTTCATTCCAAGTAAGACGCATTAGTTTGAATGAATTATTTCCGAAGGGTTCTAAATTAAATTAACGTTTGTTAAAAAGCATTCAATGATTGGAATAAGCCATACTTGTAGTGAATGTGGACAGAATTTACATTGTATTTTCTCATCGTGCATGTTGAACATTTACGCAATAAAAAGTATTTATGCGTTCACTTGTACTCACATCTGTTTCATAAGCAACTTTTCTCGTTAATCAAAGACCTATCTCGAAAATTTAGAATATAACCATACTAAAAATTGCCTTTGTGTTAAATAACATCTACTGGTGTCTCACAAGTCAAGTTGAGCACGTGGCTTTTTCCTTCTCCAGCGTACCATTATGACGTAGAGTATGACGTAGTGCGCGCTAACAGAGCGGCCTGGGATAATGGCGGTCCATACGTTATTAGGTGGGAAGTTGAGAAGCTTAACACATCGCTGGTTGATATCGACCTTTTAGCCATAAGTAACGATGACAATGGACAGGTTGAATTACACTGGATCCCTGTGACGAGAGGGATGGCAAACTCCGGCACTGCTCGTCTTGGGGAGTTGATACAAGTGGCGCCCCTGGCGGCATTAAGTGGAGCCATACGTGCGTCGTCTGCTGGATCAGCGGTGGAGGAAAAGAACACGTGAGATTTTTTTTAACATTTGAAAATAATTTGTGGAATAACAATGATTTGTAGAATACGTGAATGTATACCTTTTTATACAACGATTTCTACTTTTTACTTTCTACGTGAAGGCTATAGGTCTATATTGTTGTATAATAAGATCAATTATGGCTGCTTGCAATAACAACTTTTTGTCAAAACATAATCAAATATAAATGAAGACGCTTCCCAAATTCATGGTTGATTAATGATTTAACAATTGACCGAGATCCGTATATGACGTAAGACCAATGTCCACACCAGATGAATGAAGTCACGCGCCGTCAAGTTGAACATGATGGCGATACAATCTGCTATTTTATCTTCAGATAATGTTATTGCATTTTTCTTTGAACCCCCCCAGATCTCCAGTCCTGTGGTCGGACCTTCATACCTTGGAATGGTACGCGCATGCGTACATTACAGCCGTCTTACTGGGACAAACGAAAAACGCGGAACATACATCTTTTATAGATGACGTTATTCCTGACCTCAGAGACCGGCTGCGATCAACTCCCAAGAATTGGGAATCCATCATATCAGCATTGAAAGTTTACCGAAAAGACATTGCCGGTTCTGTCTGCAGATCTTGGTTTGCCAAAGATAGAGACGTTCCGTTGCCTGGAGACCTCCCACCATGTCCCTGTACGCTCCAGCAGGCACTGAGAGATAGAGGGCGCTATGGTCCAGACCCTACTTGTTACCAGGGGTCGTCCTATGCATATAATTGTGAGCTGAACCCCGGCGCCGAGCACTGTGTTATATCAAGTGGTTGTAGGTTAGTGTGGGTTTTTGTTTGATTTCTGTAATGTCACAAATGTTTAGAGTTATGTAAAAACATATTCATGAGTAGTCCAAATTGTAATATAACTGTTTTAACTTCCCGCAATTTTAGAGTAGTGCATTTGATAATTTGTGCTCCGTTTGATTCCCGCTCTTGTTTTACAACATTTACAAAAAAAAAAACCTAAGCTGCAATAGCTATAGTTCTAAATATTAAAACTATTTTTACCATGGTTGGAACAATTTTCAGCCAATCAGGAGGAGCCACGCAATGCTGCTATGACGGAAAAGGCCGACTTCTCAATGTAGCCGACTGGGAAATCGGAGGCGGGACCTTAGACCGAGCCCATATGACATGTTCACATCCCCACCAAGTCCCTTACGTGTCTCACTTTGTAAACGATGTGGCGCCCCAGCATTTCTGCTGCCTGTGGTCTGAAAGCCAGGATCTCTGCAGGAGCACGTACTTCCGCCGGAGACCGTCACGTGACTGCAAGGGATATGTGCCACCAAGAATAGGTATGAAGTGGCCAAGGCTATAGAACTCCTTTACCTCTAACCTTTCAGATACAGGCCCGTAGCCAGGGGGGTCCGGGGGGTTCGAAAGAACCCCCCTTTTTGCTGGAAAAAGGTCCACTCTGGGTAAAATTTGACCTAGGTACATGGGGATTATATGGTAAAAGGTCCACTTTTTCAGAAAAAGAACCCCCCCCCCCTTCAAATTGCTGGCTACGAGCCTGAGATATATGGCCATGCGTGAAAACCTTACACAAGTTTATCGAGTTAAAATGTCCATGGCCCCAATTTAAGGCAACAATTAGCATTAACTCAGGCATTCATGGCTGGTGATTTATGATTGGTCGTTCGGAGGGTACATCTACATAACATTTACTGTTATTTTTCAATGCGAGAAGTACTCAGAGATACGTGTAGCTAGGTCACGCTCAATGTTTCTCCCTCAACAAAAGCCACTAAATGCAATTACGAAACACACAAAACAAAAATTCGAATAAGTTTGAAATCGGCCTTTTTATGTTGGATACTATTTTAAAAGCACAAGGTGATCTGCAAAGTTATAAAATGGGGTGTTCGAAGTCCTGGCAGATATATTTTAGTTTCCAATTTATTGTGCGCTTTCATTTTCAGTTGGCGCCTTTGGTGATCTTCACATGGTGACTTTGGACGGTACCTTCTACACCTTTAATAGGTTGGGAGAATACGTCATTATGCAAACAAAGGACAAACGTTTTGTGATACAAGGGCGCACACAACAAATACCAACTTCTAGAGGTACGACAAATATTATATTGATTAATAAATACATTTGTTTGACCTTCGTCTGTAATATGGTCTGTAGTGGCATTGTAGGTGAAGAAATGGGATTTTGAATGATCTATATCACCGGCTGTTAAAGTTGCAACGCCATATGGCGTCATATGCAAAGGAGTTAAAGCGTGTAAAATACATTCTAGAGATCGACATCCATAACACTTTCTTAAAATTGCATCCTTTAAAACACGTATTTTTCAAGCAGGAATCATGACACGAGCGACAGCTTTGACGTCATTGGCTGTGACGTCAGGTGACGGCCACGTGATTGAAGTGAACACGACTGCCCGAAGACCCATCGATGTTTTGGTGGACAGTAAGAGAGTCGAATACAATGATTTAGCCCTGGGTTTTATGACAGGTACGTCGTGCCCATATGCGGTATAACATACCTTGTGGCTTGTGTAACCGCTAAAATTGTCAGCGGCTGTACGGGTTGATCAGAAGCGCAAATTGTACATTAACTTTTAGTCTGTCGACATTGCACCGCCATCAATCTTTTCTTCTTTTTATTTTTCAAAATGGGAAAACAGTTACACACTGGACGAGTCCTGTAACAGCTACACAATAATAATACCAGAACATGTGGATGTCAAATTTTACTGGTGGCTCTTCTTATTTTCGAAAAAATGTTTTGAGTATTTAAGATTATTTTAGTGATGATTTCATTACCAGATAACCGCCTAAGGTAGTGAGCAAGGGTAAGACAGCTAATATATATGTGAACTAAACCATGTAGATAGTTGTACTAGTATATATAAAGGCTCATTAACTTTTTCGTCGCATTAGGTGTTTCTTTTCATACACAGAACACTACAGCACTGGGGATCAGTCTGCAGCAGTTCGGCGTGTACTTGGAGATACAGTCCGCGGCTGGTTTCCTCAATCTGAAGCTCTTCTTGCCAGCCACATTTAAAGGTAACTTTGCACTGGTTTAGGGCTCTGGCTAGAAGAATCAGTTGAGAATAGAGAGATAACAAGGCCATTGTAAGTGTTAGAAGTTGGTAATTTTTTTTTTTTCAGTGTTATTTAAAAGCAGAACCGCCTACTGAGGTACTGGTTCGGCATCTAATATTTTGTTCTTAAATATTGCTGTTGCCATTTTCTGATTAATATCTTACGAGAAACATTTTATTCGCTTTTTTCCTCATTAGAAAATGGATATGTAAGCAAGAACTTGGTCTTGTGGCGTGAGAATCTTTAAGGGGAAAAATCTTTGTCAAATGGTACACGTGTCTTGAGTGTTTTAATAAATTAATCTTGTATACTGCTGCACTCTCCAAGGTGAGACTCAGGGATTGGTTGGAACCTGGAATGACGACCCTGATGATGACTTCATGGCCAGGAGTGGTACAGTGGTGCCATCTAACGCCACAACCAGAAACATCCATGTGAACTTTGGAGAGACATGTAAGTCGGTTTCATGGCAGTGAAGGGGAATGTCAAATAACTCTTTGAAGTGTATAAGTTTAATGATCAGATAATTCTGGAGAGATTGGCTTGCCTTTTGGCTGTAGATAGAGAACTAAGCACATTAATTAAAAAAGGGCAAAGAAGTTGAATGCGTTATAGTTTTAAAAACACTTAAATGGATTTTCAACGCAACACATTATCACTAGGGGTATTGCTTGTAAAAATAAATAAGGTCGTGCTTTCCGGCAGATGTGTAAAAACTAAATTGTGAACTCTTTTGAAAGAAATAAGCGACGATGCAATTTTTTCATTTTCTAGGGAGGACGGAAGAAAACACCAGTATATTTACCTACTACAACGGCACGAGCCACGCGGATTACCAAGACCTGAACTTTGAGCCGCTGTATGAAATACCGTTTGATTTTCAGTCCAATGAGACCCGCCAGAGGGCGACACAAGTCTGCGGCACAATCCAGCAGTGTCTGTTTGACTTTCTGATGACCGAGAGAGAGGACGTCGCCATAGCAACGAGGGAATTTGTGCTCGGGATTGAAAAAGCTGTGAATGATACCAAGCCGAGTGAGTTGCACGATATATTCAGATCTTCTCATGATCAGCCTTGACACTATTTTTTTTTAACTTTTTGTAACTCATACTTCACAGCACCGACTTTATACTATACTGCAGTAACTGTCCCCACTCGCTACTGCCATTGCACTTTATTTTAGTATTAATTCAGTTATAGGCCTAACTGATATCTTTGACCAATGTGGTATAGTAAAAATGATAGGTAATACACGAAAGGAATAGTACTCACAAAAATGGTATTTTTAGATGGTCGTTTTAATTCCTACAGCAGAAGTTAATATCGAGAAGATTTGTATGAAAGTTTCTTTCATCAAAGTTAACGTTATAGAAGCCCGATGATTGTTATCACAGCTCATATGTTATCAGGATTTTGCACCGTTGCAGTGCATGTAGATATCATAATCAAAACAACAGGTAGTCAACACTTCATTTCCAACTAAAAATATATATTTTTTTCAGTTGTGACTTGCGGATATCTTGCGACGCCGCTGAACGGGACGAAACACTTCACAGGTTATTTCGCCGGCAATGAGGTGACCTTTAGATGCAATGAAGGTCACACGTTGGCGGGCTCTTCAGTAAGGCGGTGTCTGATTGGTGGAGAGTGGGACGGGCACAAAACACAGTGCAGAGCATCAGGTTCGTTTTGTAAGGCTCTGTTCAAAACCAAGTTCATACACGGACTAACTGCGGATCAAATATGGCGCGCACTTGAAAGTATGTCACAAAATCCCAAAATGCTTCCCCTCCTCCCACTTGCACCCTCTCTGCAGGTCAGAGCAAAATTACCTGTAAATCTCAGCAAGCGTTAAAGTGGATCGTGCCATATTTGACCCGAGGCTCAGTTAGTCCGCTGATCAACTTGGTTGTGAGCAGAACCTTAGATAACATTCAATGCAAAATCAACATAATACATAATAACGTACAGGGTAGGTCAATCAGGAGATCCTCAGTTTTCAGTGGACACTGAGAACTCACCATAATGCCATACCTCTCTACCAGGAACCGGCCGGAGGATGACGTTACGCATTTGTATGGAAAATCTTACGCTGGACAGTACAGTAGTGTGCTCAGAGTACCCACAGCCAAAGATATGTCTGTGAATATCTAGAAATGAAATTAATTCCGTGGCCCTGTGGTACCTCTCTACTACATTGTATTAGCATACATCCGCCAGTGTCAGTCGAGCACCTGCTTATATTCTAGATAGCGGAAACAGCATGCCGGTATATTGGTAGGACGGGTCTTCAGTGTTCTCTGAATCTTGGGCTGAGTGAGAGTTGATTTATCGAAAATTTTAAACCCACACTCTAATGAACGTAATTAAGACAAATCCCTTTGTAGTGTTGGCCAAAATGGGTAAAGCGTTTGATGTTGTTGATAGCACTTTTTTACAAAAAAAAGGGAAAAAACGAGTATAAACGAGTAGCTACTATACAAATTTGATTTTTAAAAACTAAAAACATTCCTTTTAGATCAGGTATAAGTGACACAAATTGCTCGTATGACAAGAAGTTCTTGTACTGTGGCTTAAAACCAAATATTTCAATTATTTCAGGTACCACACGGCTTTCTTATGGCGGTTTTCTCCTTCTGGTTTTGTCGCTTGTTGTGACAAAAGATATGGTCCTATGAACTATGGGATGTCACGTTTCTGTAGCAACAGGATATGCAGCACGGAGCAGTGACGTACACTAAACTTAAATAAAGCGATGACCATGACTTGATACATTCTACAGCAATATATTGTTACATAGCTTGTGAAAAACACGCAATTTTAATGTTTATTTTCAAAATAGGAGTTTTAACTTTATATAAGATGTATAAAATAAATGAATCACTACGCTACTTTATGCTTGCTTTCTTTTACAAACCATTTCTCTTTAGTGCTGTGCTGTGAACCCACATACACAGAGAGCAAACTGGACGGGCCAGGGATGAGGGAGGGGTTATAAACAAGTAGGGTAAAGGTGGGGTCTGATCTCATTATTCTCTCATGTACCAGTGGCCAGGTTTTTCCACTGCTTGATTCGTAACGCTCAAGACAGAGACGTATGGTAAACATTAACCCTTCACCCTTAAACCCTTAAAATGCTCATTTCAAATATATATTAAATTGTGAGCACAGAAAATCCATTCTGCCCAGTACGCCCTCAACATGCAGGCTTCCAAGAGAAAATGTTCATACATGAAATGTAAAACAAATATAAACTAGACCCATTTCTATTACGTATATAGAGACTTTTAAAAATCCAGGTGTGACCTTCCTTCCTGAACGCTTAGCGTTGAAGGAACACAGCTCTTAATGCTGCATGCCTTGAATTCTCACGTGGATCACGTGACATGTACGTCCCTTTGTCATGTACAGCTGCGACCACACAAAGGTTCCATTGTCAAAACGCGTAATGTCATTGCCGATGCGTGTCTTTCAGTCAAGCAATTCAATTGACTAAGTTCACTTTGGGTCAACCTAGCAATACCTTGTTAATATTAGGCGAATATCGCTCAAAATCACCTAAGTTTGATAACTGAAATATTAGCAATGAACAGATTATTGTATATGATATAAGAGCTTGATGTTAAGATAGAAATATTACTGGATCAAAGTAATCGCTTTTGGAAATATACACGGAGGGTGCGAAACTGAAAATATTTTATGACGCAGCACTATTTTTGTCAACAACATCACCTGATATTTTTCGACGGGCGCCATCTTATACGCCTTACCTAGGAAAAATCTTGACGAAAATTCAAGGACAAACGTCATTTTCAGGACTGAATATAAAATATGACTTGACTTTAGTATGTGAACTGTACTTGGCAGCCTGCAAACGTTGGTTTTATCTGCGCAGTAGAGACGATCTTGACTTTATGAAGTTTTTTCGAGAATTGGGTGTGAAATCGGCCGCTAAACGTTTGATGTTTTAAAGGTACAGTATGAGGCTTACACCTTTTATCTAGGATGAGGCTTACTACTACATCTGTGCATAACTATTTTCAAAGATAATTTAAATATTTTTCATCTTACAAAACAAGCTTAAGTTTCAATTTATTTATAGCCACCATAGAAAGGTAGGGCCTACATGTACTGTACCTTGCCATAAAAAATTAAGATCCTTTTCGAGTAAACTTTTTTCACCTTTTATACTATCTATAAGTTAATTATTTATACTGTAATAATCATAACTGTTTTACATCTCCGCCCCTACAGAACTAGAAAACACGGTCTTGAGATTTAAAACTGGTCTGAGGCAAGTCATTTTATTATGATGCTGAAATGATGCTTCTTAGATTATCTACTGAAAATAAGTGTTGCCTACATTATTAACCTAAATGGGTCTGCAATTAAATGACTGCTCTACAAAATGTAAATAGTGTTCTTTTTCGCAACTTGTGAAATAATTCGCCACACCCATAATTTGGTAGTCAAAGGAAGTTTCAATAGAGCAGACCCCCCTCTACCGCGAATTGGTCTGAATGCCACTGACTCCTTCAGATATGACGTCATTGTGAACTGCGCTTTGGTAGTACTTCGTCCTCTAGACTTACATTGTGTGATCCACTTTTATATCCCATGCAATGGAGAGCTTGAAAATATAAGATTCAATGATTCAAATATTATGAGAATTTGCATTCACTTATACAAAACTGTAATAAGTGTAATAAGAAATAAATCATATTTGTATTATAATCTCGTTTTTGATATTAATATTGGCAACTAAATCTTAGTGCTAATATGTTTTTGTTTTTTTTTCTCATTGGAATTCTGTAGTTTATTTTCTTTAGCTCTGATATCATTCAATATTTCCTCGATTTATGAAATATTTTTATACGTAGTTATGTGTAATATGTAATTTGATCACCTGAGTGTAGAAAAATCACATCACTTCAGCGTGTTGTTACATGTGTGTATTCCTTAATTCTTGTGATTATTCTCTGCATACATTGTATCTGTGTCTGTTTCCGACTATGTTCAGCTTGGTCTACAGGTCAACTTTTAACCCTAAGCAACAAAAAGATCTGTCTTATTCAAAACAACGCGGAAAGTTTAATTTGAAATGGCAAGGGATCTTACACAAAATGAATACTTCAGGTTATAATAATAATAATAATAATAATAATAATAATAATAATGGAATATCTCAATATTGGGGAAGGTCGGTATTTTGAGTCCTTAATTTGGTAACACAAAAGACAATGAATAAAAAATGTCTTCACTCAACAACTAATATTACCTTCAATATTTCGATGTTTTTAGAGCATTTCCATTAGGGAATGAGGCTATCCAGGTGAATAACCTCTATCCAGGAGTTCCTTATCCCCCACCTACTGTCTTAATAAAAGGCTAGTATACATGTAGGTCAGGGAGGATGGCCACATCATTTCTGTTGAGACTGGTCAATGTCTTCTTGGTGTGTATGGCCTCCAGGATTTCTGTTGTGTTTTCACTGTCAACCACCTTGATTTTTTCAATTATTGGACCGTGATGCTTTGTGTCCAGATTATTCCCTATGTTGAGTTATTGCTGACTTGCTGTCTCTTTTGATGACTGATTTTTTGGTGTTCTGCTATCTCTCAGCCATTGAGTTTTATACCCATGTATGTATTAAAAATGTGACTCATGGTGCGGTTAGAATACACTTCGAATGCCATTCAATAATTGTCCACTTGGAATGCACTTCGAAAGTTTTGAGCATGAACAAAACAGTCGGACGGGACGCAAAAATGGGCCCATATATTTGGAATGTGCTTAGAACATCCAGGAGTAAACAAGGAATTTTCATTCCAACGACATTCTAGCTCATTCCGCCTCTAGTGTGACTAGGGTATTAATGAAAACATAAAGGATATTGTCATCCTTTGCCCCAAACTCCTTATTTCCGTAATTACTCAAAATAATCAAGAGGCCCATTTTTCCAGGTTTATTTTGAGATCTGTAATACAGAATTGTTCACATAATGTTCTTTGCAAACAGAGCCATACAACATGTGAATAATTTTTAATTATTAGTGACAAGTTATTCAACCCCCTTCTCCCCATTTAAGGAGTTATTACTGTGCACATCCAATGACATCAGCATCGTGTGTATACCTTAATTTCAGGGAGCAATAGAGGTTTTAAAAATTACAAAGGGGTTTTCTAAAGGTAAAAGGGAATGACTGTCTCATTTTAGAAGTTTTCTCAAGTGCAACACCAATTAAATCCACTTGAAATGGTATACGAATCATGTCTTTTATTTCGCTGCTGATTTAGGTTGATAGCTACTGAGGAAGTGGCTCCTCTTCACATTTACCTTTTATCAAGCAGGGTAGAGATGCATGTGATAGTACTTGTGATTGGCAGAAGAAAAGAAATAGTGGTGAATTATTTACGCTTACGCGTTTTTGTCCAGTGAAGGACCTCTGTCCAGAATTCCCCAGGTGAGACATTCACATCATACTGCTGCGTATTATGCATTCACTGTTGAAGGAATCATTCCTCGTTTATTGAACTGAGTTGAAAACAAGGAAAAGATGTAGACGAGTTTTAAAACATTTTCCACGCCCCTATAGTATTTTTAATTAAAATTCATTTTGTCTAATATTCTTCGTTAAATTTAAGTCCAATGTGATTACAATTTACGGGTTTATATATAATTGTTCAAAGGGAACAATTTTGAGAATATCAGATGAAAACTTAACACTGAAAATATTCTATGACACAGTGTCAACGACATCAGCTGGCAGCCTTTGACAGAAAAGTGCTTGGCGTGAATAATCGATGAATTAAATGGTCTCAGAACAAAAATGATTTTTCTACAGATCTGGACCTCCCACAGATGTTAGAGCATTATGGTGACAGGTCCAATAATACAAAATGGAATATCCGTTTGGAGTAGTCTTTTTCCATCTTCTATACCCTTTCTATACCAATATTTTATAACCATTCAAAAAACAATGTTTCCTAACTTTTTTGATCAAGTGTATACGAAGTGTACAAAAGCACATGCTAATAAGAACTACATCGCTCTTTATCATCATCATCATAAGCCCTGCCCCTAAACGTTTACAACCAGCGTTTATTCTCCTCCCGCATTCAGCAAGTCTGTGATTTTATGCCCCATTAACTAAGGACACGCGTCTTTGTTTCTCCTTGCTGTTTCAATTTGTTGTAATCCATCTCTTCACATTAAAATATTGCAAGTTAATTTGCTAAAAAATCTGGTGAATTGCATATTGACAATTTGATATTATTGCACCCACATTGAAGGTAAAATTTCCATCTTCTATTTCATCCCAGAGGAGGCAGGGAAAGACATAGAAGTGACAGATACCAGTACCATGGCAACAGCAATAGAGTCATACACCGGCTCCGACCAGGAGAACTTTTTCCGTTTGTGCATTTTAATTGTTGATCATGCCCTGTCGGTCGTGCAGCATGTTCTTCAGGAAGAGCTTGAATCAAAATATCCCAATTTATTTGACCCTAGCACGGGGTTGTTATTTAAGGTGCTTAGTGATACAACTGTCAAGACCATTCTGTTTGGATTACCTCGAAGTGTATTTAATAAGCAGCAAAAAGACCAACTGTATCCTGCTGGAAATCCCTCCACATCAGTAACTGTTGATGATTTAGACATCACACTGACTGTTATCTTACTGAGAAACATCACAAAACTGGTAACCGGGTCCAATGCATGGGACAACCCCTCCGACAGCGATAAATCAAAAGAGGCCGAGATTGGGCGAGTTAAAAGATATCGCAATATTGATTATGCTCATATAACAAAGACAGCAATCAGTTTGGATGTTTTCCGAGAAAAGTTCTCCGGTCTCAAGTCCAGTCTCCTGGC